ACGCTGTGGCAAACAAACAATCCACGACGAAATAACCCGTGAGTGTTTGTTTGCTTATTTGCATTTCGTTTTTGTCAAATTAGTGTGTTTATCTCTGTGTGTGCGTTCCACTGCCTGACTCTCACTTTTATGATATTTAACAGAAATTAGCAATGGTGTGTACACCCAGGAAAAGCTGGTTCATTTTTTGATGATGATGATTATGATAATGATGATGACATAGTCACACAGACCGACAAGTTTACTTACCGATACTTACTTTGTATATTTTTAATGACGAGAGAAATGCAGATGTGGTTGAACTGACGTTTAAACTAGACAAATGTTGCACGTTTGTTGTGTAGATTGTTACAGTTTGATGTGATTTAATTGTTCAATCATGTATTTTATTACACTGGCCCAGGACTTAATGCAATATTGACGCTGAATGGATTATATCCATTGCATTATGTCTAACTTGTTTTGCAGGCTCACCTGTTTTGAATAGACGATTAACATAAATAAACCACAGACAATGTATTGATTGAAAGATGACTTCTACCAACCACGCTGAAGACTTAAAGATAGGTCTTTAAACATTTGGATTTTTAAATATTTTTTAAAACAGCTGTATAATAGAGTGACTCAAATAGAAATTCTGCAAAGGACGGAGAATGTAGTTTGTGCTACAAGTAAGTAAATATGTTCATAACTTTAACTGTGAACAGATTTATTGACTCACTATTACAGTAAGTAGGCCTATATGTCACATTTTTGCATGGTGCCTAAAAATATCTCTTTTCTAAATATCTGTCTAATGGATATCACCGAGCATGCGGATGGTGAGTAAAGAATGATTAAGAGAATAGATATCAAATCAGCACAATGTGGGACCTCTGATCTCTTAATTTTACTTCTCTATGGTTCATTCTTTGACTATTTCCACCTCTTTTTGGATACTTCCATTACATTTGGCCTCTCACACCTTCCCCCTTTTCTGGTTTCCCCTTTCCTCTTTTTTTCAGCTTGTCATCATTTTTCAAAATCTGCTCTGTCTGCCAGTCTCTTTTAAATTTGTTTCATGTTTTAATCTGATTACGGTAATCAGTTTTTCCCTCAGCCGCTCCACCTCGTTTCCTCTCCTGCTCCTTCCTACTCCCTGTTGATTTGCTGCCATCATCCTCTCAGCTCATGTAATGTGACCAACCATGTCATTGTATATTTTGTCCCATCAACCATCTCTCTCTCTCTCTCTTTGGATTCTGTTTCCCTCCCTCTCATCTCTCTCTGCCTCCTCTTGATTGCAAGCACCAGTCGGGAAAGGGGATTATTTCTCTTTAGTCATCTTCGGAGAAGCATCAAAGAGGCCCCGCCGAGCGGCGTAAGAATAGAAAAATGATGCTATTTATAACTTGTTTCAAAGAATGCCGACCAGCCAAAACAGAAGCACTGCCCCGGAATCACAGACACACAGTGTAAAGTAGATTAAAGGTTGACACCACCTCAGCTACTCACACACCTTCTCAAATGCAAAGGCAGATACAGTGCAAAATAATACCAGCTTCTTTAAATAGACTGTAATTCATGGATGAGGCGAATTCAACGGAATCAAAACAAGAGAAACTGGCAGGAAATATTCTCAAGCTTTCGACAGTTAAATTTAACACAAGCTAATGTTTTCAATTACATCACAATGTAATGACCGTAATTGCAGAACTTTGGGCCAGTGACTTAAACTTTAAATCTTTCATGCAAGCGAGCCACGGTTCAACCCGCCGTCAGAACGAACACACACACACTCGTGGTGCGGCGCATCGCTGACAGCTGATGGATGTTGGCCTCATGAGGAACAGTGATCTCCCTTAATTATAAATGGCGTGTCACAGAGAAGGGGGGGTAGATATAGAGGAGGGAGATGGGGGGGATAGATGAGGGATGTAAAAATAGAAAGTGAGAAAAAAAGGGGTAAATAAAAAGCTGAAAGTGGAGCAGAGAATAATTGGGGATGGAAGGGCAGAGCAGAGCCGGGAGGACAAGGGAGGGAAAAATGAGAAGGACGGATAGGAGGATGAAGGGTGGGAGAGCTGAAGGTAGAAGAGGTCACAGTGTATTGATCTTCACTCATCTCTCAGGTCTGACTTAACATTACCTCTGAACATGAGCGCAGCAGGCTGGACGTTCAACCCCGCAGGCTGTAGACACTCATGCAGCACACACACGCACACACACACACACACACACACACACACACACACACACACACACATGTATTCATGCTTCATATTCTGCTGCCAAGCTATTCTTATAGTCACAGTCAACAGCTTTAAAATAATTATGCGCTGGCTGCTAGACTGTCGTCCTTGTATGAGACCCGGAACCTGAAATATATATTATTTTCAAAAACAACTTTATGCACCGCAGCGTCTGTTTATTAAAAGCAAAAACCCATCCAGCTTTCCCTGATACACAAATATGTGTGTTCATCATAATCATCATCTGCTATTAATAAAAAAGGGTAACTATATTAATATTCTGTGAGGATGATTCACATGTTATGTTCTACACTTTGTGTTTCAAATAAGAGTGTTTGTAAATAAAGGATGTCAATTTGTCAGTGGTGAATTTTATATAAGCAAAGCAGTTTGAACTGCTGCCTACTTGAAAGGTGCTTTAGTGTTCTAGATTGCAGTAATGAGACACAAGTGATCATTCCAGCTATAAATCATCATTTAATTTGGGCGGAAAAATCAAATAGGCTCTTGGCTTTCATTTTTATACTTATTTTTTGGTCTTTATTTAATCCCTGCGCTGCCGTTCCCCAAGGGGACGAGGCTAACGCACCCACGTCTTATGCAAAGTCAAGAGCTGATGCCTTAGAGGAAAGATAACGGAGAACAAGGGCATAGACGATTCACTTCAAGTAAACTAACAAGTACCGACATATTTGTTTACATCCACAATCAAAGAACACGTTCGTCACATTATGTTTATAATGGCAATCAATCTAGTCTTGTCTTTGGCCTCCTCGCCGGACGTATTCAGCTAAATGGAGAAAAGCAGCAAAATAACAACACAGGCATAATACAGAGCGGAAGAAAATGAGAGATGGATCCTGCTAAGTGGAAAGTGGACAAGGGACGTTGCTGAGCAGCAGAAGTGTAGCATAAGGAGAACAGACTGTCATGAAATATGTAGGAAGTAGCAACTCAGCACCGCAACACAAAGCCATTAAAGAAAGCCCCGGAAAGGGCGGTCAGCTAGAAATATAAATGTCAATTTCCTTACTGAGCACAGCTAAAAGCACTTCACACTTTCCCAGTTTTTCACTTCTCCCGGTGAGAAGCCCCGCTCTGATGTTCTCAGACGTCTACACAGACTTTAACACACGTTTGCGCTCTCAAACACGCAGGTTTACATGCATGTTGATGCTGCAACACAAAGAAACAGACACAACCTCTCCCTCCTTGTCTCTGCTACATGCAGGAGACCAGGGGGACACTTTGACATGCGGAGGTTTTTTCATCGGGTCGGACATCAGGGCCGAGGCCCCTCACGAACCTTTCTGCAGGTGAGACGAGCAACTTCAACTCTTCCTCAACAAGCTATCACTTTGGTGTGATGCTGGAGACAGAATATCATTGGATAACCATAGTGGTTATATGCTGTTAAGCACTGCACATTTTTATGCATGTATGAGCTCTGCCATCGTTCGTCACATGCTGGCATGTTTACAGGGTTGTGCTTTTATCGCTCTGGCTGCAGCTTCAGCTCGGGCCTGGAGGGGTCCAGGAGCCGCATATGATCTAATTTGTTTATGGAAACTCGTGTTTTCCTTTGTTCAGGCAGTCCAAGGGGTTCATAGTTATTTGCTCATAAATGGGAATAGTTAAAGCCTGCTGTCAGGTTGTATTCCTCCCATGTCTGTTTTAGTTGGCTGAACCAAAGGTCTGATCCTGCATTAGAAACCCAAATCTGGTCAGAAACACTGACAGTTAATGCAATAAGCTAATGCAGGCAGACATATAAAAAGAAACACATGTTCAGGGCTGCAGCTCTGGGTCATAACAGCACAACTCTTTTGCTCAAAGTGAGACACCTTGAACTTTAACAGATAGTAGATCATGATCCTGTGAAGACATTGGGCACACCTTCATCCATCTGCTGACTATATGACGTTTTTTGAATGCCATAATGTCATGTGCGAAACATTAAACTCCAAATTAAAAGGTAAGTAATGGATAGAATTGTCATTTTTTTGGTGTTATGGCTCAATAAAGGTAAATGAGTGTAAGTACCGCTCTTATTTTGAAGGTGACTTTACATGGGTTGAAATGTTCATATGTTCTTATCTGAAAGGCTGATGATTCCAACTCACAGCTCAGATTTCTCAAACATTTGTTTTTACTAAGACATTTAAAGGTAACCCCTATCTTTAAATATGTTTCCGTATGTCCGTATTTAGAAGAAAAGCTAATTGCCCGAGTGATATATGTGCAAAAGGGCAACTTTAAGCCAGCTGGCAGGAAGCACACCTCAAGAACACAGATGTTAAAACACTCAAGCACCTGTCCAGCCTCCCTGCTTACAATAGACATGCCAAACAGCAGTCCTCTCTGCCCTCATCGTCCCTGCCATCACCACCACACCCATCAGCTCCATCATTTCATTAATCATACTTCCTCCCAACTTCTCTTCGTGTGGGTCACAGCTTGCTTGCTTGCTTGCTTGGACCCAACACATAAGCATGTCTCACTATTTGGGTATTGGCTTATTTTTCCTCTCTGGTATGGAGCAAAAAGCACGCGCCCTCTCCTGTAAATCACAGCAGCATGGTCACTATGGAGGAGCAGCGTGCTCAAAGGGTGTTTGCCGCACAAATGTGAAGATGGGAAAAGGATAATGAGCAGAGATCTAAAAGCCTAAAATCGACAGTTCAATTACCCAAACGAACGAATATGCGGTGTCCACGTGACATTTGAAAAATATCGCAGATGCACGCGGTGGATAAAGCGTTCGGCTACCTGGATGCTGCAGGAGATCTCGGTGTCATCCAGTAACCGGATCGTGCACAGGACCTCCTGGTCCAAGGAGCGGATGCTTGGGCTACGAAACCGGAGCATTTTCATCCTTCTGTCGGTTCTGTTTCAGCTCCTCATGGCAGCGGATCCACAGGCGGACCAGACACGCGCGTACGCTACCACACACACGGAGGACCAGGGCACACGCGGGGCTTGCATACACGGAAGCGCCTCTCAGTCGCGTCCTGTCACCGCCTGTGACGCCCTTGGGAATGAATGAATGGGTGGATGGAGACAGGAATGGATGGATAAGAGAACGGATGGATGCAACAGAGCGGGAGGGAGGTGAGCTTGCATCCGTCTCCTGCCTGCCCACTGGAGGATCTGCAGAAGAGGATGGCGTTTGCCGTCTCTCTCTCTCTCTCTCTCTCTCTCTCTCTCTCTCTCTCTCTCTCTCTCTCTCTCTCTCTCTCTCTCTCCCTCCCTCCTCGTCTCTGTGTCTGTCTCATTGCAATTATGATCCCACGTGTGTGGTGTCAGATTGCCAGCTAGCAAATCACCCGCCCTGTGGATTATTTATCGACTTCAAAAACGTTGCTCTTTAAAGGGTCAAATAAGTGGCGATGCTCTCGGTGAAACAATACAAAAATCTACACATTAATAGCATGTAAACGATCAATTACTGCCTTTGACTTGAGGATCAACATGTGCATTTGAGTAAATACCTGTATTGCCTATAGCATTTTGAGAAGTCAAGGTGCTCAAAAAATAATAACCCACCGCTGCGGCCCAAGCTCCCATAAACTCTTGTTTTCATCTTCTGTAACAATGAGGTAAACTGTAGCCGTGGTGCGCATACGGCTACTGTCTCTTTAAGTGATGACGCAGCAGACGTGCTCGTGACGTCATCACGTGATTTGGCAAGTGAGAGCGTCAGACGTTTTGCTTCGGTTACGTGTAGCTTGTTATCGTTTGAGATGAAACACGGTTAGTAGGGGACAACACCTGTGAAGGTTTTTGTAGTGATTAAAGGTTGAGACCACGAGTAGCTACACGATCCGGTACGATCGCGTCACTTTATAAAAAGCCCCCACCGGTAGGTTCGATCAACCTCGTGCACGTCCATTAATGCTACGTTTCTATGGTGCAGGTGTCCGGGTGTAAGATCCGTCCACTATGGGGGAGTTCATGCAAACATTGTAAAAAGGGATTTTTCTGCCTTCAGGTGTGTGAAGACCCAGAGAGAGCATGATCTACGTCATTATGGGAGTCTCGGGCTGTGGGAAGTAGGTATTACCTACTGTTGACCTATTAAGCAAGAAGTATAGAGCATATTTAAGTTTATTAAGTCACATGGGGAAGAAAGGGTGACTGGATGCTCTGGGGAAAATACATTTGTTTGATTACATTGTTGATCTAGATGATGGTTTATGAACTATCAATGCCTCTACAGACTTAATTACAGTAGACTGGTATCTTTTAAAGGTTACCGAGAAAAGTAATAAAGCCAACTGCAGTGCAGTCACATAAGGGGTTTACAAACTTAACAGCTGAAATACATAGGTAGCTACCCACAAATGATCTCAGCTATTAGCTACTGTAAATCTGTGGCAGAAAAGTGTCGCGTTAAAGCAATAGATCCGGTGTTATTGTGTCAAGTCTGTTATGTCTTCCCCCTTTTCTCACGCAGAAGCGCCTTAGGTGCCTTCCTCTCAGAAAAGGTAAATTGATCCATCCCCTTCCCCACGCACACATAAGTCGCCAGCATAATGCATCTGAGCACAGTATGATGTAACACTGTATATGTGTGTGTGTGTGTGTGTGTGTGTGTGTGTGTGTGTGTGTGTGTGTGTGTGTGTGTCTGCTCCCATCAGCTGGGCGTGCCCCTGCATGAAGGTGATCACTTCCACCCACAGGGAAACATCGAGAAGATGGCTCGTGGTGAACCACTTACAGATCAGGTACATTTGTGTCTGTCACTGTGTGTGTGTGTGTGTGTGTGTGTGTGTGTGTGTGTGTGTGGGTCTTGTCAGCTCAGATCAAATGTCAGTCATTTACAGAATGAGCTGTTTCTCTAAAGTAAGAGTAAATCATTGTCTCAGCCACAGAGAACTTAGCAAGTTGCCCACAGTCCAAACATTCTGTACAGGGATTCATTTCCTGTTTGTCTAATGTTTCTATATTTTTCCCATCTCCATGCTGATTTTCAAAATAAAAGTAAACCTGCAAACAATTGACTGGCTACTTGCCAATGTTTGAACTCACGGGCTTACGGGCATAGCAGCCGCCGCCGGCATTTGGCTGCTGTAGTAGTAGTGTTTGGCGGCTAATGATAACCTTCCACTCACAAACCTGCTTTTAGTGTCGGGTACGATTACTCTATGACCTGCTCTGTCCGATGTTGTACACATACTCACATACACAAACAGTTGGCAGTTTTAAGAATGATTGTAAATGTGAGATCACAGTCAGGCCGCAGCAGAAACACTGTCTTTCATGCCAGTATTAGAGTTGGCAGGCTGAGCTTGGCATAACTCAGCAGGATATGAGAGAATAGGATTCCTCTCAATCGAGTTCAGCTCTTCATTTCAAAAGGCGCATTAATGGGAAATACATGTTACACCAGATCAGTTGTAACCCAATTAGGATTGATTCTATTTCTGATTGCTGTGTAATCAAAGATGTTTAAGTGCTGCCACGTCTGTCTGCCTGATCTCAGTTTTAGATCCCGACTGATCCTTTTAAAGACTCTGACTTGTGTCCATTAAACAAAAATGGTTGAGTTCTAACTTGGAATAAGAAGATAAACTATAAAAGACCTTTCCAGAATTTTTACTGCATTTCTGTATTTCTGTATGTAGGATTATTTTTTTGATTGATGTTTTTTACATCCTTCTTCATGTAGTTTTAAATATTTCACGGTTGTCTTGCTTCATCATTATAAGTTCAAATCAAAATCTGTCTGATGTTTCACTGCACTCTGACAATGTTAAAAGCCAGCGATGACCTCATAAAAGCGTGAGACAAAAACGGAGCTGAAGGAAGTTATTGCTGGATGTTTTTAAGAAAGAAATATTTCAAATATTCACAAAGGAAACATTTCTTAATGAGGACAACTGCTGCTGTAGATGATGAAACAAATGTGCTGCTGTTGATAACGAAATATGAAACGGTTATGCTGTTTTTCTTCAGGACCGATTTCCTTGGCTTCTCAAACTACATGAAGTCATTGAGAGGTAAAAGCAAACAACAAACCTTTCACACACACAGACTATTTATTTTGCACATGTACACTGAAATGAACATTTCGTACCAAAGATGCAACGTTTTTTTTTAATGACAGAAATGGAGTAGAAGACTGTGTGTTTAGAGAGGGAGATGAAGCCGATGGGCAGAGCCCAATGTATGCAGGCGGGACATTTTCAGGAAAAAAAAGATCAAAACTATCAGAGATGGTTTTGAAAATTGAGACGAGGGAGCGAGGAAAGGGACTTTGGGAGAGTAAAAACAGATTAAGTGAGCGAGCGTGTAGAGAAGAGGTGGGGAGAGCTGAGAAGTATGCCATCTCGTTCCCACAACGTCTGCAGCGACATCAAAGGCTTCCTTTCCAACTCCTGCACACTCAGTCAGCCTTCATCTGCTCGTAGCCCTTCGTTTCTCTTTCTTCCTCCCTGCAGCTGTTTGGGACCACGGTTCGCTTTTTTCCCCCCCATTTGCACACAACATCGCAGTGTTCAGTTCAGCCGTTATTACTTGTTCTGCCCTCACTTGCTCTCTGCATGTCTGTGTTCCCGTCCCAGAGAACGAGGTTCAGGCTGCGAGGCCTTTGTGTCCTGCTCGGCTTTGAAACGCCTGTACAGACAGATTCTGCTCCATGGCTCCAAAGCCCTGGATTCCTCCAACAGTCCAGACGGAGAAGTCCCGCCTCCGTCGCCCCCCCACGTCTTATTCCTCTTTCTACACGGCGACTACGATCTTATTCAGCAGAGGGTGGCTGCCCGCAGGGGACACTACATGAAAGCAGACCTGCTGCGTTCCCAGTTCGCCGTTCTGGAGCCTCCGTCGGACAAGGAGAACGTGTTGTCTTTGGACCTCAGCAGGAGCATCAGTGACTTGGCCACGGAGGTCCAGGAGCACATCGTTAGGCTCAAGTCGTCGATATGAACCTCAGATCATCTCTATATTCAGGTCTTAGAATGAAACACAGTGTTTTGGCTTCATCTACTCATTAGCGCCTCAGTCGAGAATCTTTTATGATCTCACGGTGAAAACATTTCAAAACACAGCATGTTCCGTTCGCGGTTTTATTTATGGTTATGCTTCCAAGAGCATGCTACGGAGAAAAAGACTAACAGATCAGCAGATAATGATGAGCGGATAAATGTAGTGTGGATATTTACCCTTTTTGAACAGAAGAGTAATTTTGATTTTTAAAATACCATGTCTTGATGGACAAATGCGTCAGCACATTTTGTCTTAGAGAAAAACAAGAAACACCTTTTTGTACAGAAAAGGAACAATTTTACAACAGATTGTGGGTGAGTGGGGAGCACGGTCGTCCTCCAATCAGAGGGTTGTCGGTTCAATCCCAGGCTCTGCTAACCCGAATGTCGTTGTGTCCTTGGGCAAGACACTTAACCCAACATTGCTCCTGTAGCTGCGACTACAGTGTGTGGTTGTTAGTTACTGATGTGCAGGTGTCACTGTGTGTGGTTCTCCTGTCATCAGTGTATGAATGGGTGTGAATGGTGAATGATGTCATGTAGTGTTAAAGCGCTTTGAGTGGTCAGAAGAATAGAAAAGCGCTGTACAAGTACAGTCCATTTACCATTAGATCATGATTGTGGCTTTTTAGTCACTATTGGGTTGATTCAGTAGCGGACTATAAAATGTAAGTAAAATGATTATGGTTGTATTTATTTCCTCAAGTTTTTTAATTGCACGTTTAATATTTAATTTGACATATTAGTGTAATCAATTTTTTTTTTTAAATACCTGTAAGTTCCATTTGTTTTAGAGGATACACTTAACCTGTGGACCCGTGGAAACACACTTGCAATGTTTTGACAGACATCTATATTGATTTAACACTTGACAAATTCTTCTTAACATGACTCCAGATGATCCACCTGTTCTCCCTTTCAGCTTTACAGGTTTCTCTCATCTGCTCCTGAATTGAGTTTGAGTTTCTTGGCATTGACAAATAGGTTAGTTAATAGAGTTTAGTTGCCTTCCATATGCACCAACTAACCTTAAAGTGCAATCTTTACATTGAATGTGATCATATACAGCGATTGAAGGTTTATTTCTAACACTCAACTGCTAAATGCTAAAGGAGGTGTAGCTCCTCTGCCACTAGCTTGATACCAAACTAAAGGTCAGATCAGGTCAAGGCTTCATGATTCCTATTCTGTGAGCCTCTTCAGTAGACTCACACAAAGCCACACGTGAGCACGGCCGCAATGCCCCAACACACTGAAACACACAAACACCTCCACTCAGCGCCGTGGAGCCGTTTTAGTGGTGTGACTCATCTGCAAACCTCAATCCGAATATTTTAGGAGCTTCTAATCCCCCCCAAAAAAACCTTTGGCTACCCTCATATCTCACTCATGCAGGCGATTGCGCGTGCGCGCACACACACACACGCGCGCACACACTCACAGCAGCACAGACACAGACATCACTAGGGATTAAACCCTTCCTCAGTTTGGCAGTGACACACAATAACACACAGGTTGTCGAAGGGATCGCACACACACATATCTGATGCTGCAGTCGAAAAACATCCAGCAATAAGTGTCGCATTTGTCAGTTAATCCATCTGGTCTCTTGAGGACACAAAAGCAGGGATGGAAAAAGAAGGTGCAACCCTCTCAGATTCACACACATCCTATTTAGGACCTGAATAGTTGGCTAGAGATCACCTGTAAATATGACACGGCTTGAATTTGTTTAAATACATAAATGAATGACTATTTAGCCAGCTGGTGTGCCATGTTTGCATGAGCTGAGTATAAACACCCAGATTTCGGGGACATGATTTACACAAAGCGTGAACAATCAGAACAATAAATTACAATATGTTACAATATTTTGTGCATAATTCCAGCTGAATAGACCGTACTGGCTGATGTTAAGTGAATCTGCCCTCCAGTGTTCGTAGTTGAACAGTACAACTTTAGAGGACAGCTTGTATACCTACCTGAAAAACAGGTTTTCTCTCAAATTCAGTACAAGTGTATGCAACATATTATATAGGTGATAGAATAGCATCATATGGCAATATTACACCTTCTGTCAAAGATGATAAACCAGTTTGTGTTTATCTTCTCTCTTTATTGATCAGGGTGCAACATTATGTATTTTAAGCTTGAAGATACATTTTTGCTGCTTTTCTTTGCTCACAACGGCAAATTGGATTTTAGAAGTAGTTGGAAAAAAACCCCAATGCATATGAAGGATTATGATGTAATACTGTATGTATGTACACGTGCCCAGGTCAACATCTGTGTGTGGTTGTCAAAGACTGAGCAGATGCTGTATAGCGGTGGTGAGGTCTCCTCCGGTGCTGATGAGGACCTGCAGGTTTGCTTCTCTGTCTCCGAAGCCCATTGAGCTCAGATGCTCCAGCTCGTCCTGGAACTCCGCCTCGTCAACATGGACCTGAGGAGTTATTTAAAGTCTTACTCATTACATAACATAAACAAATACAATAATTGCTAAAAAGGTTTTGCGCCACGGAGAGTGAAGATACAATTTGAAATATTTCCATGTGGGTCCCTACTGAAACCGTTGTTTGCTTTCTTTAAATAAATACAACAAAGGGGAGGAGTCTCCGGAGATAAATCTAAATATCCTTGACTCCTTCAAGGCGACATGCATTGACCACATCAAACATCTCATCTGATGTGGCTAGTCAACTTTAAGCTCAAAGATATTATTTACATTTGAAATACTGGTGTTATTCCAAATCCAAGAGGTGCACAGATAAATGACAGAAGCGGTCATGGTTATATGGAAAAACAGAGATACCCCGTGATTGGTGTCAGCTAGCGCCTGTAGCATTTGCTCCACAAACTGCTGCTGCTGCTGCGCCGTCACCATGGAAACCCGATGACCACATTGGCTGTGAAGGACAGAGTCAGGTACCAGCTCTGGGGCAGCATTAACACCAGCTCTGCAAGACAGACGTGGTGGTGGTAACACATTAAATGTTTCTACGGTTTCTCATTAGCTACTCAACCGTCCTGTGAGTATTCGTCAGTCGGAGGTGAACTGTAAGTGTTCATTTTACACATTTATACTTACGTGGGTATCAGTGCAGGAGCCTCTGCAGCCAGAGTCTGTAGGCCCTGTTGGATGAGTAGCAGAGCCTCCATGGCTCTGGGGTTGAACAGGGCCGACAGCAGCTCTGGACTGTGAGGCTACATAGCATAGATGTTAAATACAAACAATAAGCATTGGAGCTGTTAATGCATCACTTCTATCATCTAGAGGGGGTTTAGTGGAAGGCAAATATCCTAACTTGTTGCAGAAGAAGAGGGATGTGAGGCCTCATTTGCTGCTGCAGCAATGGATCTCCCGAGATCAACGGGTGGCTCAGCAGCATCTGAAACAGTATGACAATGAGACCTAGAAGACCCGTGTGAGTGTGTAGGATTTGTGTGAACAGGAAGTGGGAAACGGGTGATTGGGGCCTCGTCCCACATCTCTGGATTGATTTTTTGATTCAACAGTTCAAAGGCTCATGAATAACAGAAGCTAAAAGATAAATGGAGTTGTCCCGTGAAATCAAGCCGTGTGATTACCTGGCATGTGTTACCCTGTCATGCGTGTCTGTGCGTTACCTGTGCAGCCAGGTCAGGGTTCTGGCTCAGGCAGGTGAGGAGACTGCTGACGTAGGGCCCCGACAGCAGGCTCTCCATCAGTCCTGGACTGGATGTGATCTTCTCCAGCAGTGACTGCGTGCCTGAGGAGCGAGGGAGGAGACCTCTGATACAAGATGAAGAAGAGCTGGGATGAATACATACGGTTATAGTTTAGCCAATTCAAAGGACCCTTTTCTCGGTTTGTTGGGTATGAGGCTCTACGTTTTCCCTCAGTGTAGTTCAACTGTGTGGATTTGCATTTCCGTGCCTGCGGTCACAGAGCTCTGAGGGTTTGGATCGGCTCTGGTCGCGGCGGTCAGAACTCGGAGAGGATCTGTGGACTGACAGGTGACCGATGGAATAGCGGTGCTTTCCCCTTCAGTTGGCTGTTGAGTGCCGCACGATGTGGTCACTTCTCGGGCTTCTCCGATCTAGATCAGAGAGAATAAAGACACCACAAATAACAGATTAAACACATGAGATTTGTTTGACATCATCTCAAGAGACAGCTTTAAAAGTTGGACCTGTGATAATTTGAGCATTTTGCTGGAATCCTTCTGAGGGCCATCAGAGTCACCAGTGATGGTTTCAGGGTTTTCCTGCTCCGTCTGTAAATGGTCTAATGCTGTGTCTTCACTATGCACCACATGCTCTATCATGCAAGGGCTCCTGATGATCTCCAGCCCCTGTAAGATCAAGAGCAGGAGCAGAAACTCAACGTACGGTTGGGAAAAATACATCACGGAGAAAGCAACTAGCAAGTGTAACATTGACAGTGAACATGAAAAACTACCTTTTAAAAATGTCTGTGTTAATCCTAAAATACATTAAAAGGGACATAAGGATTTACATATTCAAAGGTGTAACTTGTATGTTATATAAAATAAAATGTCCCACTCATTAGAGGTACAGCATAAGCAGTTATTTGTTACAGTTGTGTTCTGACACATAAAACCATGTTATTCTCATCTTACTAAATATCTGTAATACACACACACACTCCTCTTTATACCCACCTGTGTGGTGACAGGCGAGAAGCCGGGCCCACTGTTTGTTAGGCTCAGACTATCCAGACCCTCCACTATGGAAACAAGATCATCAAAATAACAAAAGGTAAACGGACTAGAGAGCCTTAGTGGGATCTGATCAACCCGTAGCTTCAGTGTAAATCCACATGGATCGGTCAGGGGGGGACAGGGAGGTGTGTGTGTGTGTGGGTCGGGGGGGGGGGGTTCAATGCCTGTGCAGTTCTTACCCAAACCAAGGGGAGAGGTGGGAGACGGTGGGAAGCTTTCATGGTCGAGCTCTGGTGTGATTTTTGGTGCTTGATCGCAGGTGGAGGCAGAAGACGGGTGCTGAGGCCTGAGAGGGAAGGACTAAATCAAAACTACGAGCAGAGTACATGAGTTGGTGAAGGCGTTGGGCTCAAGGCGAATTTAACTCAGAATTTGTGTCTAACACAGTGTTGACCTCCCCATTATGTAAATATATGGCTGAATTTCAAGGCTTTTTAGCTCACGTTTACACACAGAAACTCTTCACCAAAGTTAGGACCTGAATCCGTTGCAGAATGTGGTCTTGCAACTTAAAAAATAAAATAAAGTGCAGGTTTAGTACCTTAATTTGACATTCCAATGGTATACAATTATTGTATAATTTTATGTGAAAGTGGTTAAAAGAACTTTATAACTCTTTAAAAGAATAAAGAATATTAAACTGTAGAATATTAATACAGATCCCGACATATAAACTGTAGATTGCGATCTGTAGCGGAGTCTCTGTCTGTGTAAATTCCATATTCATGTGTGTGTGCCGTTGGATGAGGCTCACTGACTCATCCTGGGCGCTACGGTGACTCAGGAGTTGTGGCTCTGTGAGGACCAGCTGCTCTGTCGGCGCCCAAAGGCGCTCTGCTAGACCCCATTTCAGCTGGGAACAAACACACACACCAACACATCATAGTTAGGCAAAAAACCCCACTGAAAACCAATACGCACGTGCTTTTTTTATTTAAAAAAAGCCCTAAGACCACACAGCTTGACGCCCAAGTCAACCCATTTTACGCACAGCGCAGCACTGACGCAGCAGCGGGGAATGCGTTTGGCGCCCTGACCTGTCTGACGGTGAAGTCCTTTCCCTCGGGGACACTTTGGACAGCAACGTGGATCTTTTCCGACCGATCACCGCGACCACCCCTGCGACCACCCGGGGCTCCCGACTGCGCTTTAGCAGCGTCCGACATCTCTGTTCCCCCGCACTGATGATGATGATGATGACGATGACGATGACGACGATGGTGCGCTGTCGAGGGGCGGAGGTGCGTGTCTGTCCCCATGACTCGGCAAAACGTGGTGGTTGGTGGGTGGAAACTTCTTAATAACATTTAGGAGATGCCATAGTGTACAGTCCCATATACACCGGTGTATTGTTCAATTAATTCATGCTGAATAACTGACAAAGGAGTCAATTTAAAGATGCAGCACCCGAAACACACACACGGCATCTTAGTGATTCCCTGTATTTCAGCTCTTAGCTCATCGGCTCTTACACAAAAAAAGACACCTTTCTTTCACTGAAAATGTATTTTATTTACCTCAACAGTGAGAAAGAAAAAAAAAAAAAAGAAGAAACCAAACATTTTGGCAGTAGACAACACACAAAAGAGTTGTGCGTGCCTGCAGAGGGCAGCACCTCCTGCCAGGCCACCATTTCAACACAAAGTTTAAAGGTAATCATTTTAAAAAACATCTGCAATATTTGTTCCGCTGTGTAATACATCCTGCTGTCTCTGGGGTGTATTCCATGTGTGTGTTTAATTTTGGGGGCATGCATTATATGCTGACATGGAGCCTGGAAAAAAAAGTAAGATCAGTGGGAGAACCGTGGTTATGATCAGCAATGCTTTCCTTCATTTGTTTACTCATTTTACTTTGAAGGCCATCTGAGCCCTTCAGAGATCCACCTCTGGGCCTCGCTTCCCTTTCTTGTTTCCCTGCCAACCGGAAAAGCCAAGCACATAAACAGTTATTAATTATTGCTATGGCAACACATGAAAGAACTTGTTTTGCTCAAGCGTTAGGGGTTGTGAAAGGCTCGGCGGCACAAATCAAAACAGCGTCCTGTTTTATGTGTTCCAGCTAAGATGTGAGAGCGACTATTTGAACTCACCTGATGTTTTGGTTGTTCTGATTGCAGACCTTTGACTTTAGACCGTTCTTGTTCAAGGGCACCGTGTAGTGATGCGACCTAAATAAGAAAATAACCAATTTAAATTTACATAAATAATAAAATAACTCACACGCCCATTTTCTTCCCTCATAATCCTTATATGACCATAACACACCTGTAATGACAGTTCTTCTTTTATGTGTAGTAGCTCCTCGACCTGAAGTAAGAGTTCTGCTTTATCTTTCACTGAAAGAGAGAAACAACATGAATATACGGCAGATAGTTTTAAGTTTGTAATTGGCAAAGAAAAGAAAAAAGAAAGACTATTAAACAGTTTAACTCACTCTCTCCCTGCTGGAGCATCTTAAGCAGCTGGGAATTTCTTGCCTTTACCTCTTTGTATTTCCCCTGCAGAGTTGAAAGAAAGATTTTTAGACTACTGAAAGGTTTGAATACTGTGTATCCCTTAAAAGTCTATAGACTTGATAGTCTAGATAGATGGATTCATCAGTGATAGATGTATACGGATGAAGTCATAGAATGCTCTGCTGACCTCCCACTGAGAGATGTTCTTCTTTAGTTTGTCAATTTCCTGGTCTTTCTTCTCCAGATCGTACTTTAGTTGCTCTGCTCGGGGATCCTGACAGAAAAGAAAAGGTAGAAATGACGAAAGTCAGAATGTAAGGAAACACAAACCTCAATCAGGTGATGCTGCGTTCGATGAATCACGCACCAGAGTGCACAGACCAAAATGAGGGGGGGAGGGGTGACATCTGGTATTATTATTATTGACCCAATAGACATTATATAGATATATATTTATAAACTTTGATCAGACCACATGATTCTCCCAAATGAACTTTTGGTCATGAGGTTGGAACAAATTATCATGGTGTCTCAAACAGGCAAGGATGCTCAAAGGATGTGACTTGGTAATTAATTAGTCATTGCAAAAGTCATTGCGTCTGAAAAAATACACACTGTAGTTTATTCCCACAGAAGCATGTTAAATGATAGTGAAGATACAATATACAATTGTAGTCACATCCATTTATTTCTAATTTGCAGCTTTATGATAGACATCAGCTGACAGGAAGTAAACATGGACCAAAGCTGTTGACTGTCAACACTGTTGAAACAAGGTCAAACTGGGAAGTATTCAGACTATGAGGGTCAACTTTGAACACAAAGGCATACAAGTATGGACCTGGAAATGACTATAACATGATATATGTGGGAAAAAAGTGGAAATTGTTTCTGGCAAGAACTGTGTGAACTGTTTACCGTCACCAAAATATTCAATAAGTCACTGTTCTCTCAAGTTTCCTGCATACGGAGTCCATAAAAAGCTACACTAAAAATAAATAAATGAACTAACCCAGCCCCGAAAAGAAAATCAACGTAACACGGTCATGTTTGAAGAATATGCTGCTCATCTGCCAGATGAAAAAGCTGAGCCAGTGGTTTGTTCCTGTGTGCGCGATCTCGTCCGTCGACTCACCGGTTCGTGTTCTGTCGTGCTGGTGACTTCCTGTCCGTGGCTGTTGGTGTACTGCTCGCGCCTCTTCTCCTGCTGGATGATCCGAGTGACGTCATCCTCCAGCTTGTTGAAAAAACGCTCCTCCTGCCCGACCCCCAACGCTAGGTTCGCCACTCTGGCGTCCTGAGAGGAAGAGTCAGTCAGTGTTCCAGTGGCCACATCATACATTATATTCATCATATTCAGCAACAAATTACAGGTAACTCAGATATGTAGTCTATATTGAACTACAATAAATAGTGTGTCGCTAAACGCTCCACTGATTTGAGAACAGTGCAGTTGTAGGCGTTTGAGTTAATGAAGGAAAAAGATGATTGCAGACTTTGCTCACCTCTTTCTCTTGTTTCTTACTCAAATGTTCTGCAAAGAGACAAAGTACATTCACATCAACATTATTCTGGGAGCCCATTGAGCATCAGATGAGGGTCTAATAGCTTTTCAAACTGATCAATACGTTTCTCTCACCTGCACTGCCCTCGGCCTGGAAGTCCTGCAGTGAAACTGTCTTTTTGTCTTTCGCCTGCTGACTCTTCTTTTTGTCCTTTTTCCCTCCACCCTCTTTTCCTCCTCTAGACTTTGGCGAGGATGAGTTTGTGTTGTTGTTGGGCTGAGTAAGAGCAAACCATTCCACCACAACTTAAAATACATTAAATTACATTAAAATTAAACTAAATTCCAAGTGGATCGGAAATTATTAGTACGTCCATTTTGAATGACCAGTCACAAATGCCAAACTGCTTTAAGTGGCAGCACGAAGAAGACACAAGAATACCGCTGCGTATTTTATTACACCTAAAACATTCTCAGTGCGTCAGACACAGCTTGAGTGAATTAAAAAAAAAAGATGCGAGACTCTTTGCTGTACAGTCTTTTCTTGAAAAAATTGGGATTCACCAGATTCCACAAGATTAATCAGACGAGGAATTTCACCCTAACCCGACTCCTAATGACACTCTCAGAAGGAAAACCTTGCCATTTCAGAATTAGGAACATCGGCATGAATGATGCAACTCATCAAGAGCCATAGTAAACTCTACCAAACACATAACTGCAGGGAGTCAAAACCTCTCCAGACTAAACCTTGCCTGCAGCAAAGCTACGGCAATAATCCAAATGTGCAACACAAATGTCTGACACACCTTGTCTTGGTAACTTACCGGTTTGTTTTGTTCAAACTCCAGTTTACTTAAGATCAAAGCCTTTTCCAGGTCGGCCTCATACAGCTCAGAGGTTATCTACAGCAGAAAACAGAGGGAGAGGCTGTTAGTGTCTGTAAAATCAGACGTAAAAAGTTAGCTATGTCAGCGAAAAACATTTGATGCATTTGCATGGTACTTCATTCGTAAAGGGCACGTCAATTAGTAAGAGAACACCATCTGCAGTGTGGCTCACAAATTTGTTGTTGCTGCTGTTGTTGTTGCTTCTGCTGACCTGCTCATCCCGCCGCTTCCACTGCTGCCACCCCTCCGCAGGCATCTTGTGGCCCGCTGCTGCAGGACTGAGAAGTTCACCGGCTATTCCTGACAGTGTCATCAGGGGAGGCTGGCCACCAGACTTCTGAGGAATCTTCTTGAAGGCCAGATTGCGTAGCTGACAGAAAGCAAGAGGTTAACGGTCACCGCGAGAAATGCAGCAAATCCTCAGGCTTCCAACATCAATCAGTCATCACAATCGTTGCAGGTAGATTTTTTCTGTGGATTGACTTATTCACTATCAGCTCTTCATTTTCAGTAAAGAGGTTTATTTTTTCTATAGAAATGGGACATGTTGTTGAAATTGCCCCGTCTGGCCTTCTGCTGTTGGGGGGCGGGTCTTAAACACCGAAACTAAACACAACGCGTGTTCTCGGCCGGGTGGAACGTGTCTCCATCCTCTGCGGTGTCTTTTCAGGTGAAGTGAAACAACAACTCGCTCCCGTCACACCCCGACACACCGCAGATAGCGAATCAAAGCACGAAGGTCCTCGGATCCTCCCGGCACTCACCTCGTTCGCCTCGGTCTGCTGCTGCTCCCTCCTCTTCTTCTTCTTGTCCTTCTTCTTGTCGTTGCACGGAGCCGCTTTGCCCCCGGCGGCTCCTGCCTTCCCCGCCCGAGGCTTACCGTCGCGCCCCGTTTTGGTCTTCCCCGCATCGGAGCCATCGGAGTCCGAATCAGAGTCTATCTGGAGCAGGGCGAAGCGGGAGGCGGTGGTGGGGACGGTGATCATTGCAGACGATGCCATTTTTGTCTCGGGAAGGAAAACTCAACTGATGGCAAATAGGAGACAAAGAACAATTCAGTCCGGGTAACTTGGAGCGGACTGTGGAGCCAGTTATAGCTCCTAGTTGCGAGCTCCTCTCAACGAAATACATGCTACGCATCTACTAAACTCTTCATTCGTATCCACACACTGTACGTTGGTGCGTTAAATCCCAAACAAGGAGTCGTCATACTAAAATAAATGATATTAGAACTGCTGATTTGCTAGCAGACGGCTGCTAGCATTACAAAGCAGTAAGTTCACCGAGCGTTAGCTAACTGCAGCCGGTTTGGTTAGCTCGAAACAAGTGCAAAAGTAACGATGCGCGACAGTCAAAAATACACCGAGCAACTCCAGGTGGTCCTTCGTTTATTATACTCGAGCTGGTTTGTTTTTAGAGAAACAGTACTCACCGGGACAGTTGCTATTGAAGACTTTCACCTGTTCGTGGAGGTGTAAGTTAGTCGGATACTGTCGCTTGTGCTATCAGTGATTGCCGGAGTACAGTAGCCCGGTGGGGCCAAAAATGAGAAACGCGATTGGTAATCGCCCTTTCGCTTAACGTGTTGCACTTTTGCTATCCAATCCCTGTTAAATAATTGTAAAAACGTTTTATAAGTTTACAGATCTAAGCGTGTTAATCTCGTAATGTTGAGGGATGAAGCCTTTTCTGGAATGGGGCTCTGGAGGAAGGGTTGATGGAATGAGCCCACACATCATAGTGAGATATGCATATGAGAAAGTTTAATGCACAGGGTTGAACAGTCACACTTGTAAAAATAATTTACACAGCAATCAACATATAACTAAATGTAAGTGCACACAGATCAAACAGGTTTCTGTTTAAATAAATCAAATTCATTAAAAAAACATTACCGTTTTATAGTACTCATATACATACTGTTGTAGTGCAGAAAGCATTGCATCTAGTCTAGTGGTTATTTTAAGTGATATAGTGCTGGAAATTAAAGGTGGAAGACAAGTAATTTCTCTTCACAAGGCACTATTTGACTACATTTGACAAAAGGTTGATGAATGCAAAGTGATATAACATTAGATAACAACAATGATATTTAAAAAGTGCTGCTTTTTGCATTAAACAACTCATTCTCACACAATATACATTAAAATGTGTGAGCACCGTGGAAGACGGATAAATAGGAGTGCTATGACAAGAGACCATTCTGGTTCACATCTGGTCACCGTTCCACATTTCACACACTTTCTTCTGCTGTTGTCATTTTTCCACGGTTTTACTATTTTGTGGGATTACATTGACAGCAGTTCTGTCATTTAAAACGAAAAATGCTTAACAAAACCTGTTCAAGGTGCCTCTTATTCTTTGCATTAAATAAACCAGTATTTTGGAGAGGATGTTTCAGTCCTACAGAATGCATTTTTGAGCTTGCTTATTCACAACACATATTTTACTTTGTCTACTAGCAACCAAAACTAATCTGATGTACACACTTCCGCTACCAGGTGACTCATAAGTTCCATGACAACATCATCTGTCAGTGTTTCTGGGCACTTCTATGGAGTCCTCTAGCATTGAATCAGTGCTGGTCTCCACGACAGACTGTCGCCCCCTTGTGGCAGAACTACAGACATGCAGGTCAGCTGAGGAGATCTGTCTCAGCTCTCTGCGAGACAAACGGCCTGGTGTCATCTCTAAAATGTCCCCGGAGTGACCCCTTCTCCCCAGGGACTGTGTGTGTACCTGGTCGTATTGAAGCATCTTTGTTGTTTTGCGTGCTTGGAGGTCGGAAGACGAGGATGTTTGATGTGCGTGTTTCTTCAAATGAGGATTGTGCTCAGCGTGCATCTTTGTGTGCGTTGTTCCAACCTGTGTCCTTCCGTGTGCCTCATCGCTGTACGTGCGGGGTTCTTTTGCACTCTGGTTTGATTGCACACCGCGTAAGTGTCCGTGCTCCAGTGTGTGTGAGGGCAGAGCGACCGGGTGAAGAGAGTCACCGATGATCTCTTTGAGTTTCTTTTTAAGCTGCCTACTGGAGCTTTTATAGAAAAACAGCTCTTTCTCCAGATGCTGCAGTCTGTCTTTGATGGGCTGCTGTGACTCTTCTGAACCACCATCTAAACACAAGAACCCCAAGGGAGAGAAAAGTTCATCAAAGATTCTGTGCATTCAATTTCTGTGAGGACCAAACCTTTCACGTCTAAACTGCTTCATCCGGGCTGATGCCATTTCCTCACCTTTAAGTTTCTGCAGCAGTAGCTGGATGTTGTTCTGGTGATGGTGGTGCTGCTGGGTGAGCCTGCGGTCTGCATCTAGGGCCAGGCGCTGCATGGAGACCTCCATCTCCCTCAGCAGCGCCTCTTTCTCTCCCGTCTGAAGCTCCAGCTCTTCACAGCGCAAACGCAAACGGCGCTCCTCCTCACGGAGACAAACAACCTGGCCGGATTAAAAATCGAGAATAGAGCAGAGAAAACGCATCATTGCACACATATTCACTAAGGTGTTGGCTGTACCTTTGTTTATACTCACACCTGCAGGGGAAAATAGACAGAGCGATACAGTCAGCTGGAAAGACGATGGACGATGGAGGGAGCATTACAGGAGGTATAGTATAATTATCATTGAGAAATAGAGAAACACACCTGAGGTTGGACGCTAGCAAAGGTAAATAGCGGAGGAAAAGAGAAGGAGAAGCACTAATCTCTTGCAAATAATAAAGACAAGTAATGGAAAGCAGAGTAAAAGGAAGTGAAGCCAAATCCAGGCAATGGTAAGAAAGCTGTAATGGAGAGCATGCATTTGACCTTGCCTTGTTGAAATATTTGACCAGCAGCTCCGAAGCCTCAGGTGGGGAGAGACTCTTCAGCTTCCTGATGACATCACAGAGTTGGGCGGGTTCGCTGCTTTGTGGCTGCAGCAAAGATGAGTCTTTGATTAACAACTTCCTTTGTTTTTCCTGGATAGAGCGGTTTTTAAACTCCAGAGCAGCGTCCAGAGCTTCAATGGCTTCCTCCAGTTGAAGCAGGCAATGCTCCTCCTACATGAAGACACACAAATCACAGCGCAGAAAGCAATAAACGCTAACGACGACTAAGTTATCATGAAAGAAGGTCCTATACATTACGTCACGTCTATCGTTATCCCTTCCAGTTTTTCTGACCTCCTCGGTGAGCACTCTGTTGTCCTTCAGGCGGAGGTCCAGAGTGTCCCTCCTCTTTGCAAGCGTGTCCCTCTCTTTCTCCAGTTCCTCCATGGTGGCTCCTCCAGACTTCCTCAAACTGCTGCTGCTGTGCAGCTGCTCCCCCAGAGACTCCAACCGCAAGGACACACGCACCAGGTCCTGACTAAGAGCCTGAAAAGTAAGTGATAAAAAAACGTTCAGATTGAATAACATGTGTTGTCTTTATCTGATAAGACGCATTGGAAAATAGACCTCAAAATAACAAGCTGAATCCTGAAAAACAAAACACACACAGGCACCACCTCATGTACAGGCTGACCTGACTGGAGCGGAGCATCTTGATCTCCAGTTTGCTCTTCTGCTGCAGACAGCCCTCTCGGCGGACAAGAACCTCCTCTCTCCTCCTCAGCTCCTCCTCCAGCTCCTGCAGCTCTGCTCTCTTCTGAAGCACCCGCTCCTCCTCCTCCTCCAGCCAAACGCAATCATGCAGCTAGGGTGACGACAAGAAGGGGCCAGGCATGTGCGGATGGAGACAAACGAGGAATTAAGAGCAGAAGACAATGAGGTAAAGATAATAGCGAAGGAGGGCTTCAGTATAGAAGAATCTTTACTGACTCCATATTTACCTGTTGCTTTAACTCTTTCTGGTGATTGCGTTTGCTTACAGTCAAAACGCCTGACTTTTGCTCCTAGGAACAAAAACACAAATCATATTTCACGCACGCTGCGCCGTCAACTATGTTCCTCTCTTTTCCCATTTTGCTGTGTGGACCACGCAGGAGATTTTCCATGTTCATCAATCTGTACAACTAACCCTGTTTTGGTCCGGTTCTTCGCTGGAGCTGGACTCTCTTTGCTGACCGAGGCTGCTTTGAAGTTGTTCCCTCTGCCGTCTCATGTGCCGCAGGCTGTGGTACATCTCCGATCGGACCTGCTGGCTTTGCACGGAAAGGCTCGCCAACACGCTGGCTCCGCTGCCATGCTCACGGTGTCTCCCGTGTCGGTCCGCTGCTCTGGTCTCCTTGTCTGCAGACAAATACACATTATATATATCTATATTGTTAGGATTCACTGGTGTCGTGCAGTAGTTTTTTGGAGATTCCCAAGTGATTTAATGTGAAATAAGAATGAGCCACCTCATTGTAAACAGTACAGCATTGCGATCATGTCAACAGAACCACAGTTGGTCTTTCTCTCTGTTGCTGTCCCTTAACAGACAGACACAGTGTCTTTTTTCTATAGACCCACCAGTTTTGTCAAGCTCTTTGATGAGTTCCTCCTTCATGCGCATGTTAACGGACAGATCTTGGATCCTTCTTTGAGTAACGCTGGCTCTAAGTCTCGCCTTCCTCGTGTGGCTTTGCTTCGCGAGGTTTTCCTTGGTCCCTGAGAAGAAATAGCCCCTGACGATATGAGCAGGAAACAAACTGTTGTATATGAAATAAGTCCGTGGTAAAGTTACAGAAGAGCTCTGACACAAGGCAGCATGCTCCTAACCGTAGAAAAGAACAAGGAAACATCGTACTGCAAAATAAAGTCAAATACATGTGAATAGACCTGTAGCTTGCTGAGGCTGCGATAGATGGGATGGATTTCCGTTGCATGTTTCGTCTAGTCCAGAGTCATTTTCTTTCTCAGCTGATTTCTTCTGCCGGCAGCTCCATGTTCGGTTTAAGGAACGCCTGCAGTAACGACACAATATTTCAATAGGCAGATCGTTGTCTGAATGAAATTGATGGCTGTGAAATGGAGGTGCCCTGGTTGTGTTCCCGTGGTATACACCACACTGATATTATTACGTATCAGATGGGAAAAAGAGTTATTCATCAAGAGTGCATGTAAGAGCCTTGGATCAGAACACATCAGCTCCTTTGATCTTCTGTAAAAGCAGTGTGCTGCTTTCTTCATCTCCACAACACGTGCAGAGGGGTGTCACATCCTATACGGCTGTATTAAAGGGCTATGACGAATATTAACACCAGGTCTTTCATGAGTTGTTATAATCCTCAAAATGAAGGAAATTAAAGCAGCATTTTTGCTGTCATTGCTTCACTGAAACTAATTCTCTCTAGTTTGACTCTTTCCCCATGTTAGGGAGTGGTGGTCACTGCTCTACAATGTGAGAGCAGGCGAGGGATAAATGTTTCCACGCCTATTAGCTGAAATAGTATTTGTTGCATTGAATCACCGGGGGGCGGATAGAGACAGAATCAGTAGGCTTGTGTTACACAGGCTCTTACCTAAATCCCATTCTTCCCACAAAGATATCATTCTCGTCCTCATCCTCGTCCTCTTCCTGCTCTTGAGCGCCATCTTTGCCCTCTGCTTGTTGTTTTATGAATGGACAGTACACCTCCTCCTTCTCCTCAATCTCAGCCAGCAGGAGATGACTGCGCATCTTAAAGGCTGCCATCACCCTCTCCAGTGAATAAGCCGGTGGACTGGAGTGAATCTAAAAACACACATGCAGTGGGACAGATATATGCACAGCCATGGACATGTGCAACAGTTACAAAACACACACACACACACATACAGAGTACAAAACAGCGCAGCAACTTACCCTCCTGGGAGGTCCGTGCCCACAACTGTTGCTGATGAGAGGGACACTCTGGGATCTCTTCCCAGAGGCCCCTGTTTCCACGGTTGCCCCTGAGGTTGCACCCCTAAAGGTCACCAGGTCGCTGCGAAGATGGTTTATCAGGATCCGCTGGTCCACAAGTTGTTCAGTCTGAAATAAGTCAACCAGAAATATGTGCACACGTTTCTTTTGATGGTGAAGTATGGGGCTGTATTTGCTTCTGTCCTTTCCTGTATTAGTGTTGTACTCACCTGTATACGAGTGCGTTCCTTTTCCTCCTCCAAGGCCTGAAGGTGGGTTTTGCTCTCTTGAAGAAGTACCTCTACTTGTTTTTGAACCTGCCTCATCTCTGCATCTCTCTGCTCCAATAGCTGTTCCTCTATGGTGAGATTCTCCTAAGACAGAGATGAAGAGAGAGTGAATCTTTAAGTCAAAATAGCTGTATTGTCTATGTAACTAAGGCTTTTGAAAGTATGGTCCCCTCTCAGGGAAATAGATATATCACAGTGGACAAGACATCTTGTAATACAATATGCAGGCGTAACTAATAACATTAAAGTGGCTTGATTCCATACAGATGTCAGCATGCATGACTGCAGTGCCACACCTTAATGGAATGCAGCCTTTATGAACGTCATTTGACCTTTGGGATCTGACCTTTACTTTTCACTTGCTATTACTACCTTGCATTGGCTGAGTTCTTCTCTGAGCTTCGATATGGTGTCGTGGTGGGGTCGATCAGAACAGTCCTTCTCATATGCTTGAAATGAGCGATTGGCAGCCGTCAGCCTCTCCTGCCAATCCTGCAGCCGCTGCCTGAAGGAAGGACTAGAAGTGGGGTTGGGGACATCTGCAAGCAGGACAGCAGCTTCCTGTGCCAGGAGGCGGTACTGCGTCGGTTCCTCTTGGTCCACCGTATTGTCTTGAGGAGACATCCTCATCTGAATGGGCTCTTTGACGCTGTCCCCCTCTTCAGCTCTTCCATCTGTCCTCTCCCTTTCCATCTCTCTCTCCTTCTCTTTCAGCAGCTCTCTCAGTGTCTGTAGTTCATACTCGAGCTCGCTCAGTCGAGCCTCACCAGGGTCCCAGGTTGTCGGACACGTTTTGACCTCTCTCTGAGTAGATGCGGCTCTAGGGCAGTTACGGATGTGACGGGCCTTGGATGCAAACTGCAGGACACTCAGCGTCTCGGCCACGCTTTGGTGAGAGGGGCTCACGCATGCCACCATCAGCGTGTGGGCGCTGCCTCCCAGCGAATCACGGAGCAGACGGGTGATCTTGGCATCGCGATACGGCACGTGCGCACCGTTGCAGCCATTGCCCCGGCGGTTCCGGCCAGGGTCAGAGAGGGCGCGGATGACGTTGCCCAGCGCGAGCAGCCCCGCATTGATGTGAACAGACTCCTTGAGACGCGTTCCAGTGTTACCGGTTTTACCGGCACGCTCCGAGCCCGCGAGGTCGACTAAACAGAGTTTGGAAGAGCGGACGGATTGTGAGGAGGAGGAGTTGTTGCCGTGGTAACACTGGATGAGCTGAAGGGTGAGGATGGCGTGAGAGCGACTGGAGTGATCGTTCATCCCTGTGGTGCCAGTGCGACGCAGGGCATTGCCGGTCTCCAGAACACTCCGGAGCTCCTCTGCTGAGGTGACAACCGTCTCTTTGGCTCCCACCACCACTGAAAACACAAACAGAACCACTCAGTAATGTTTCAGAGAAACGCACTGAGTTGGGACATTACTCTCACCAGCGGCCAGTAAGCCAGGTCCAAACAAGTGCCATTGTTTGGACCTGGCTTACTGGGTTGAGAGAATATGTCTCACATTTGTTGTTTAAGAGAAATCCAATGAGCTTGTTTTCATAAGTACATCGTATTTTGTCTCATTGGCTTGCCGGTTAAAAAATACAGTACTTTTTCACCGACCTGTGTTTCCCTTCTCATCATCTCTGATGAGAAGCTCTTTGTGAATGGTGTGTAGCTCCAGCAGGTCTCTTAGTTCCTCCATGTACAGCTCCATGTAAGACACCCGCACGGTGGCTTCCACGTCATCGCCGTTCTCCCTCTTCTCCCCCAGCAGCAAGAACAGATCCTCGGCCACACAGTCGATTATTCCTCCCTCTTCTTCCGAAGTTTTTGGAAGGAACAATCACATGAACAAAAACATAACGTACATGTTGCAGGGAAACAACAGAGCAGAGCAAACATCCCTTTAAACATAAAGCAAAGATGACTCATTATAAAGAAGTTCAAATACATTTAACCTCATTCTTCCGGCTATTAGTTCTTTTAAAAGCAGCCTTTTGGATCTCTCCAACCTACCCAGGTTTCCCCCTCCGAGTGTGTACGTCTTCCCCGAGCCCGTCTGTCCATAGCAGAAGACGGTGGCGTTGTAGCCCTCCACCAGGGACTCCACCAGCGGCTGCACGCAGCACGCGTACACCTCGTCCTGGTCGGCCGTCGGTCCGAACGCGTGGTCGAAGGAGAAGAGCCGGTCGGAGCCGAGCAGCACCTGTGCGGAGCCCGGCACGGCCCGCACGCACACCTGGTGGTTGTGTAGGACCTCTTTGGGAAGGAGGGGACGGATGCGCAGCGCCACCCGGACACACACCTCGCTCATGACGGCCGGGAGTTTAAGAATTACGCCACCGTGGTGTGTCGACGGCGAGCGGCGGTAACGTGTCACTTTACCGTGTCGGGCGTTCTTACGGCGTTTGTTAACTTTGTGCCCATGCCCCGTTTGTTGTCGTTTCTCGGTTGCCCGGGAAACCGCCTCCGCGGTGCCGCTGCAGTCGAGGAGAGCGCGCTCAAGAGTCTTCTTTGAGGGCGGCCCGAGTGATGCTGAGAGGCAACAGCGCCCCCCGGCGACACGGTGTGGAGTCACACAACAGACTGACTCACCAGAGTGTCGTGAAACAAGAGTTTAAAACAAAATAAAAACAGTTAGTAATAACCCCAAATACTAATATTTATTAATATGACATATTATATAATGATAAGGAACGTGACCGTGACAATGTATGTGATATGATCATAGATTATTTAATATCATTTTTTTATACTGTCTAGTCCTTAACATACATGTACAGTCAGTCAAACGTTTGGACAATGAATTGAATGACAAAATGGGTCCAAACTTTTAACTGGTATTTTATATATAACTGAATGCACCCAAACACTAGATTATTTCCTTCACATAATTGGAGCTGCATCATTTTTTTAATCTATTTATTTAATTTATTTATCAATATGTTTTTGGATTAGGTAGCCATCCATTGGAGCTGCTTTTATTTTAAATATATACTATCTTTTCATACCTAAAATTAAGCTTTTATACATTATAAATCTCTTTGAAAGATTAAAAGTTTCCCATCTGACGTCCTGCTTTAAGGTAAACATATGTGGATGATGGATGTGGATGATGGATGTGGATGTCAAGGATCATCCACATCCATCATCAACATCTCTTTGAAAGATTAAAAGTTTCCCATCTGACGACCTGCTTTAAGGTAAACATATGTGAAATACAAACGCAGTGCAACAAATCTCCAAAAAAGCAGAAACTTCCAAAATCTAAAGAAAATATTTTATTTTCACTGTTGACCTCACAGAGATTAAGCCGGTGCAGATACACACATTTTTCGATTGTGTATTCTCACATACAGTAAATCATCACTCGCAGCGAGAAATTTGAGAAAAATGTTCTGCATCAACAACAGTAAACATTTGAATTGACTGCTAATGGACAACAGTGTTACTACCCAATTAAATCAACAGGCGAAATGAAAGCGCTACCTGTTTCTATTACAGCTGGAGAGAAGCCAATTTGTACATAGATCTGGCACAGAGACGTGATTGGCTTTATCCCAGGAAAAGGCACCGATGCCAAGTACTGTACTGTATGCAATGGCGCCACCCGGTTCGTCAATAGTAAATACAACGTGTGTGGTGTATTGGAATGTGGGCCATCTCTTTGTGGTGCTTCTTGGCATAAGGCCACAGGTAGAAGTCGATGACTGCGGAGTTGATGCTGCAGGTCTGTCCGTCCCTCTGGTGCACCAGCTTGCGAAGACGATCTTTTATCAGCTCCACGGACCAAATCGAACAGCCTCGGATCTCGATCTCTCTCCTGTCTCCTGAACTCAGCACCTCCCCTGGTTAAAAAATGGAGAGATTATACCTTACAGTCTGTGAACGATTGCTTCCCCCACGACCGGAGAGACACGTGCAGATACGCTGCTGCCTCACCGCTGTTCAGTGTCTGCATCAGCGCCTGAGAGTATCGTAGTGCTCCGAGGTAGACGAGAACCTGAGGGACCCTGTAGTCTGCGAACATGGTGAGCCAGTCCATGTCAATGATGTCCCCCTCTCCTCTGGCCTCCATCACGCCCCAGAAATCGGCCACCAGGATCTGCGCTCGCTTGTAGAACGAGATTCTCCTCCCCTGAAAACCAACAGCGGCGCAGCTCTACACTCGCTCATAGATCCTTGATGCGATGTTGGTTCTAATGCGTTTCGTTCACAATGATGCCGTTAATGGACAAGCGAAGAGGGCTGAATGGTTGGTGTGAAGGGAGCGTTACTGCCACACTGTCACTGGCCAGGAGATGGAACTCTCACATCGCAATTCAGCTTAAGTTCTTCAAACGCATAGACTTATCTCAGACCAGGTACACTTCCTTTATGATTTCAACCTTTAAAAGAATGTATATTGCTAAAATACTAATATTTAAATTGTCTTCAGAGATGTGCAGTACAAATAATGGTCATACACCCAATTTGAGAGGAAAACTGAAGCATGCCATGTAGCAGCAATGCAAAACTAAAAAGATAAAAAACCTTTGGGTTAATTTTTAGATCTATTTGTAAATATAAGTCAACCAGAATTCATAATCATTTTAGTACCTGAGATGTTGTACATTTTTTATTATTGTCTTGTCTCTGAACTTGATGGGTTGTAAAAATATAATATATTCTTGGAAGTTGTTGTGGAAAATTGAACTTATTGACCCCTCCAATCTCACCTCATGAGTGGCCTCGTCCCTGTAGGAAGGGATCTTCTTCACAATGAGTTCCACCATCTCACGGGCGTCATTCCCAGCTTGGCTGATAAAACTCCGGAAGCTTCCGCCATGTTCCTGCAGCACGCGACCGCCTTCGGTGAGCACCTTGATGGAAAGATCCACAGTGTGATGTGTTCAAATTGAACTGTGTCGAGGAGAAGCGGGTTAAAGAGCAGCACACCTTCAATTAACACGTAGCATTAATGGACTATAGTTAAGCTGGTGATGTAACAACAACACCCACAATAATTAAATGAGCCTCAAAATCTGTCAAGGATCATCCACGCGCAATTACCGTAAGCACGCAAATACGTCACGCGCTATCTAGGGACGTAATAATACACCGCGTACCTTCTTTGTTCAGTCTATTGACCTTTTTTTTTGTTGCTTTGTGCTGCAGAAGTGCTGAGAATTGATTTCCAGAAGTACGCTTTGAATTCAGGAGTGTGACATACGACGCTTAGCAAAGACACAAGGCACCGATGTACCAACAGTGAAACCAATGTCGAGTCATCCAGGCAGCGTGTGGATTTGGATGATTGCTGTTTCTCTATTGTCCTGAGTGCGGGACGGAACCTGGTGGCGCTCCTGAAGCATGGGCATGGGTGTCTGGTTGTCTGATCGGAGGACATGTCCCAACTCCTCCACACTCATCTGGGAGAAGTACTTTGGATCCGTGATGGGTACACCTGTGGACAGCGGTGGAACAAGCGTTCAGCTTCCTCTATTTAAGTAAAGATATCAGTCCAAAAATAGTCACTTACAAGTAAAAACCAACACACACAGTGCTAAATGTACTGAAAGCCTCAAAAGTCAAATCAACATTATATTATAATAATATATTCTATTATTCAGTTGTTATAATTTCCACAAAACGTATGAGCATTTTAATGTTGTAGTTTGGTAATGTGGAGACAATTTTGGGTACCGTGTGTATACTGGGTGGATTGTAGTACTGCGTCATATCTTATAAGCATATAATATGGATTTTTATTGTAAAGCCACTAGAACCTAAAGCTTTCAGATAGATGGAGTTAAACCTGCAATATTTCTCTCTGGAATGGAGTGAAAGAGAACTATAGAGTAACTGAAAATATTTCTCAATTGTGACCTTGAATAAATGTACTTAGTTACGGTATATTCCGTCAACGCTTGAGGAGGGGAGGATGACGGATTTGTATTCACTACTGGAGAGAGAGAGAGAGAAGACCCTCAAGCTACTAAGTTATGAAGTTACAGCGTTTTATAATTACAGGAATACGACTCCAGAGAAGCCAATTCTCGCTAGAGGCTTAAAAGACATAAGTTGTTCTGATATCAGGCCGCCAACCCCTGAGATTCACACTCTGGAGCGGAGCTACCTGAGCTTTTCTGAGACAATCTGCTGTAATTATAAGGGCCACAGCGACCACACATTGAGAGCAATATTCCATATGAGACATAATTGATTCATATCCGGAGTCAGACACACTAATTATGAACGATGCACAGGGGCATGCAGAGCTACAAGCAATTTCCCCAGCAGTCAAGTTGAAGTAAAGGGCACATACGCAATAATTGGTGATCGCAGTGCACAACAAAGGCATACAGAAAAGGGGCGGGAAGAAATAGAGAAAGAGACATCAGAAAGGGGCTTGAAGGTAAATCTTTCTCTCCAGAGATGAAGCTGCTAACAAAGAGGATTAATAATTCTGACATTTTATCACCCAGATGGTTACTTACCAGTACAATCGGGTTTATTTTCTGTGCACATTTGAAGAATCCTGCCAAAATTTCACGCGCCAAATATAAGCTATGACGCATCGTCTCTTCACACGTTAGAAAGGAGGTGGGTTTGTGTACCAGCTGAATCAATGATCCATTAAAACATTACCTGTTATTTTTAACAAATTAAATGTTGTTGTACCAGCCTTCTAAGAAAGTAAGGCCAAAAACCAGATGCATGATTTATTGGTGCGCTCACCTTCCTCCATGGCCCTGGTGATGGCAGCACACAGGGTCAAGTAGCCCGTGTACGTGGTCCCTTTATAAGTCACCTCACACTGTTGACTTTCTTTCTCGGGCCAAAAAGAGAAGTTCATGGTGTCTACAACAAACACCCAGTTCAACGCCTGCAATGTTGAACAACACAAATCATCCAGAGAGCAGATAAAAAGTTAGAGGAACCTGAGAACAAAATGCAGTGAGCAGGCAGGAACTTACTGTTCTACACAAAACATTCTGTTTTAAAATGTTCTTCACTCAAGCTTAATTTACAGGAGATATACAGATTTAGGGGATGAAAACTTGTGGATACAGGTGATGGTCAATATATAGATGTTCCGTTCACCAGTTGTTCCCTTGAATTATCATTTCACTGTTCAGCAAAAATCAACATCCGAATCATCATTATTTTGATTATTTGGGTCCAGTTTTCATTAATCAAGAATTTAGGGTAACCTGGTTCTATATCGCTGGATCACATTGAGAGCAATTTTTTATTAAAAAAGCTGATAATTAGACAATTACCATTAATTATAATTGTTTTAGCAGGATGGAAGATAACAATTCGGACCACAAATGAATTAATTAATTCATCGCTATTGCAATGTGTACTTTGAGATATTCACTAATTTCTCTGAGTGGTCCTGGATGTTGACAGACTCCCCTGGTCAGAGGTGGGAGACGGAGCTAACGGATTCGCCTTCTTCCAGCCACTGGCGGTCAGATCCTCACTGTGCCGGAGGTGGTACAGCATCTCTGCCACCTTCTGCACTCCTTCCTCTTCGATGAACACATCCCGACTGCGCTCGGCTACGAACTGCCCAGACTCCCGAGGAAACAGAATCTGCTCCATGATGGACACCACCACTGTACGGAGAAGAGCAACACACCCGACGGGACACATGTAAATGTGAATACAACGGCCAGCCGTCGCTTAGTGAATCAAAGATCACTGATAATAATTGACCTTTTTCCTTCTGCTGGTGTACGTCAATAGAAAGTGAATCATAGGCCTTTTTATTTGCAATTACCCACAACTTAATTTGCTTGTTGTGTGATATTGGGCCAGTACTTCTGTACGAGGGGTCAAGTCAGACACATCACACGGTCTTGGTGAGCAGCTTCTGAGCGCATGCATTGGTGGGTGAAGAGGAAGACGTCAACGCCGGTGGCCTTTTCATACGGAAATCGCCACTATGCTTCATTCTGTGGAGGTTGCATTTGGAGGATAATCTTCCTGCTTCATTAGATCAATCACAATGAAAATACGTCAAGATGGGAAAGATGAAAGCAGGAACAAGACTGTTTTAAAAAAAAAATCTATGCTGTTTTTCAAACTTCCTTTTCAGTGTTTTTATGGTAGAGCTTCATTCTCATCTCTTGTTGGCAAGGTGCACAAAACATAAAAGCCCTGCAAACAGGACCATCCCATTATGAAAACCAAAAGAACTCAATTATGTCCTTCTTTGAGAACTTGTAAAAGGTGCCTGGATCTATTCCATCTTTCTGAAGTGTCCAAAGCCTGCGTGTTGATGTGTTCCATATCAGACTGATAATAGGAGACAATGACGTCGAACATAGTGGCTTGGTGGAGCACATTTATTTTCACTATTTTCTCTGTGCTGAGAGTGGACGTTATTAGTAGAAAAAGCAGTACCGTGCATTGGGTAATAAGATATACCAGGTAACCTACATCACGTGATTACGCTTCACTGAACACCGGACGAGCAAAGTGCATTTAATAAACGGACTGTGGCGGATTCAAGCTCGCAAAAGACTTTCTCACCACCAACGCGGACATTATACAGCGTTCACACCGTGGATTCTCTTTCCATGGAAACCCTACTGTTTGTGTTATTATCCGTTCAAACATGGATGTTTGGCTTAACTTACCGATGAATGCTTCTGAAGTAACGTTATCGCCTACAAATAGCTGTTGTGTTACTCCGTATTTTCACTACCTGGTTTGCAGCGATTGACCAATCAGAGCTGCGTTGTGAGCTCACCGCCGGCTGACCGACCAATGACAGCGAGGCAGGAAAGGAACCCGGAAGACACAATATCCCATGTCATGCGCATGCGGATCACAGAGAAAGTAAGTGTGTATGTATATATAGATATATATTTATAATATATATATATATAAAAAAAAAAAAACCTAATGCAATACGTCCATATTTAAAACAAAACTGACAACAGTTGAGCCGTTTTTTTACTCTCATTCTTTTCTCATCTTTGAAGATGTATAGACTTTCTTGGTAATATGGTATATGGGTTTGTACAAAACGTTCACATTTGATCTTTGACTTTTGGCAGATGTTCCGGTATTTTAGACAACAAAATAAAAATCAATTATAACATGCATGGAAAGGCAGCTAGACTGTCACTTTAACTTTCAGATATGGACACAGAAAACTTAAATACCAGCAATGTTTTGATAAAAAAAATGCAAAGGAGTTCAGTAAAAAGTGGCACCATCTTTATTCATTTTACAATGTGAAGTCTACCGGGTAGGTAGCAAACAAGTGTAGAGCATGGGAAATTGCAGGAACAAAATAGAGAAGTACGTCATGGTTTGTCAAAACAAATTTCCAGCCACGTGTTTCCATTCGTGAGGAGTCACTGAAATTATTTTCCTCACACAACTACCATGGATATTCTTACAAATTATACTGTATATGGTTTGAACAAGTCCAAACTTAAAGCATCCTTAAGTCCACTGTAAAATATGACATTTCCCACATCTCTAAAATAAAAACAAATTGTTTGAAATTAAATCAATTGTAGTTTACATTCTGCCGTTTGAACAGAGCGGTTATGTGATATAACTGTGTGAAGGGACCAATATAGACAAGCGAGAGCACACCTAACCCAAGTTTGCTCGCGCACACAAACACGCGCGCACGCACACACACAGACACAATATATTTAAGCCGGAGACACAAGCATACCGATACAAGTCATAAAAATCCAAACCATCAAAAAGTTAAGGTTATGTTTATTTTTGTCTGTCCGACTGAAGAATATTTTGATAGATGTGAGTGTTAAAAAAAAAACAAAAAGCAAAGTGTGTGCTATAAACTAATGGACCACACTCTTAAAATGCGGAACATCTACATTTCTTTTATGCACAGGAATGTTGGACATATGTTTCATTAAAAAATACAAAAATAAATTCAAAAAAGACACCCACAATCCAGAATAATAGTCTGAAGGGGATGTGTTGGAAAGGGGCAGAAAGGTTGAGGGAAGGGGGTGAGGGGGGGCAATCTGAGTCTGCTTCAATCTGAGTGTCCTGGGTCTACAGCAAATGACCAGAGTACTGCTTCACACTGAAATAAAAAGAGTGGAAAAAAAATAATAAAATACACAAGACAATTCACAAGTCAATGACACTGTAAATATATAGCTATGCAACTGTAGGATGATGGAAGTCTTGGGAGGAAACTGGTGGGGAGGCAGAGCTGGAAGGGAGACCGGAAAAAAAAAAAAAAAAAAAAAAAAAAAAAAAAAAAGGACGGGCAGAGACAGGCGGGGGGGGGGGGGTGAAATAAATTGCTGGCAGAGCGAGGCAGAGGAGGGGAAAGAGGGGTGTGGTCTAGTCCTTATGTCCAAGCAGGTGCAGCACACTGAGGAGGAAGGGGAGGAAGGAAGAGGGAGGCAGGGTTAGTTACCATGGCAACACTACACTACTCATGAGACGGCGGCGGCAGGTCTACAGCTGTATCAGCATTTGGGCTAAGCTCAGATAGCATCAACAAGGAAGTAGTGTGCATTATACATGCCTACTGGTTGCCAAGGGAGACAGAAGAGGAGGAGCCTGTGCTATTTGGCAGACTGTGATTTGTTGTCGGTTGATCTAACTAAAAACAACAAAATCACTAGTCTTCCACACAGCAGCAGCCAGGGGAAGAATCAATTCCCTCCCTGCTTCACAGTGAAACGGCTTTGATGACAAACAGACATTTTTTTGTTGTTGTTTTTTACACTTTTACAAATCATATTCAATGGACAAATATGACATTGACCCTTTTAAATAAATGCCATTGAGTTTGCTTATGAATTGCTTACTCATTCACAGCCATTTCATGCAAGAGGAAGGTTTGAACTAGTTGCAGGTTGCACGGGAAAAAAGGAAGGGGTTAGTGAGAAGAGACAGCAGGCAACATAAATACAGATCCCCAAGAAAACTAGGCTTAACTAGTATTAAGATGCAATATCAGAAAAATACATTTATAATCTTAACAAAATCTTGTACGTGTATTTCAGAGCGTTCAGAGGTGAAGAAAGAAAGCATCAATAGATAGATCAGCTTGCATGAGTTTACAAGACTGCACTCAAGAGTTTTTATAAGCGCTTAGGCCAGAGCCCCCATGACAAAGTCATAGGTTTTAAAAGGCTTAAACTCAAAGCATACAAGTTGGTTAGTTTCGTTGGCACAATTTCATGGCATTAATAATTCCACTATAACTAGTGTGCTGAATCAACACAGAATTCAGTGTAAAAACATGGGGCAGGGTCACAACTTGCCTGTTCTGTAGAAGGTACTGGGCGTTCTGGATCTGATCCTGGGTGCCAGTAATGGTGATTATTCGGTCCTCAGAACCTTCCAGGGGCTCATCGATCTTGATGGAGGCTCCTGACTCGTGGCGGATCTGTTTGATCCGCTGGCCTCCCTTACCAATGATGGAGCCAGCCAGCTGTCGGTGGGGTACAGAGAACATAATGAGGGGTGGGGAGGAAACAAAAAAGCAAGCACATACAGAAACATTAAACACAGACAATATATGTGTAACAATTAAAACATGTAATATAGTATGCATGATATGCTCAAGAAAATTTGAAAGAGTTGGAACAGTTAAGGAAAAAATGAATAACATTAAAATGATTTGTGTTCCACTGAAAGCGGGATACAATATAACATGTCGGTCAACAGTGGACTATGACACAAACGCATGACTAAATGTCATTTATGTAGAAGTCAACGAGTGTGCAGAGGACATGATCACATATGGTAATGACATGGTTGTTTCTTAATCAGTCTGAATGTTATCTGACACAAGAGTATTGTCGGTCTGGTAGAGATTTAAGGCTTGTAGGTTACATTGCCGCCAAATACTCACATCTTTAGGGATCGTCACTTGTGTGGTAATGACGGGGCCCCCCATGTCATTATAGGAGCCACGTCCTCCTAATGGCATAACAGAGGTACAAAGAAAAGAGAGAAAGAAAGTAGAGAACTTAAAATCAACCCTTGGCTGCCAGCCTCACCACACATTCTAATTGATAGAGGAGACTCACCTGACGGGTAGCTATCCCAGGAGGAACTGTTGTCTGAGCATGAAAGAAAGCAGGCAAACTGAATATAAACATGTCTGTGACATGTATAAACAGATCACACATTTGAATACTAAACTCAAACATGTGACTCATCACGCATTTTGATCTTTAAAAGAAAGCCTTTCCATTAGCTCCATGTGTCATCTTAAACATTCATTGTAAACCACAATAATTTAAAGATACAATTAATTTCCCTACGAGTGAAATGTCATTCCACTGAAGTTCCAATGAAAAGCGCAATATGTTGCAAACCGACAGCTGCATGTAAGCTTCAATGTCCTTCTAGCCACGTTGACACTGTACACAAGTCAGATTGTCTATGAAAAACCGATAGAATAAAATTTGACACTACAGAATATAAAATTGCAGACACCACACGGATACAAATGGACAACCGTAAAACCAAATTTATATGACAGAAAAAAAAGGCATAGTACTTACCATATCCTCCTCCACTCTGCAAAAAGCAGATAGAAAAACAAAAGGGTTACAGACCGTAGTCAGTTCTTTTCCTAAACATCCCAGAGGAATGGACAGGATTGTAAGCATACATGTATGGATCATACAGCAGCTCCGTCCATGCAGTAGACTTGACTAAAAGCCACCCAGCGCTCATCCATAAGCCTGACTCCTCCTCCTCCCTGCATCCATCCCCCCCTTCTCTCCTTGCATCTCCATCAGCCCCCATTTTCACCTGCTATTCAACTGCTGCTGTCACCAGGGCAACAGGCAATTCAAAAAGCTGTTGCTGAGCAACGGCAGGCAGTATCCTGCTAGCTCTCAAAGAGAGTGAGGGAGCAGGAGAGAGAGACCTTCCAGTCAGTCAACAAAGCGTTATTATTGCCTAGCAACCAACCACGGCCACCCCCACCCCCAGCATCCTCCCGTCTTTGCAGGAAAAACAGGCTGGCCATGAAAAGTACATAGTAAAGAGGGCAATTATATACCCCTTTTTGATGGGGTATCTCTGACTGTGGTGATTACGGTCATTTGGTGGGACGGCCTACACCATGCAAAAATAGCTTGTATGCGTGGCCAGGACTCAGAGTGTGGACATATGCACGAGTGACCAGCTACGGCTGCATTGTCAATACACCACTATTATCATTACAGCACAAGGGACAATCACAGCATATTGCCTCGTGCTGGGACCAACCCGTGTGCAAGCCTGAGAATACTAGCACCCAAGAACTGCATGCAAGGGTCACTAACCATGTTATCGCTATAGCGATCCGGTCTGCCTCTTCGGTCACTGGTGATGAAATGATTGGGGGGAGGGGGAGGGAGAAAATGGGGGTGGGGCGGAAAGAAATTAAATGCTTAGAAAAAAAAAAAAAAAGAAAAACGACATTCCAAATGAAATTTCTGGTCTAGGTCAAACTGCACACACGCTGAGAAATATTACAGTATAAACACATTCCCTCTCAGCAATCTTCCCACACAGTAACAGGAACAGCTCTGACAGTGTTATGGTGAGAGAAGTGACAGGTGGTGGTGGTGATGATCGGAGCCGAGGGCTGCCAATTCTCCCCCCTCCCCAAAAGAAACTGAGTTAAAATAAATTTACTGAAGAAATGTTGTTCTGCTTCCTGGATGGTACTACAGCCTGTACATAACTTTGGCCTTTTGCTTTGGCTTGAAAGGGTGCCTCTGTAGCCACGTTGTATTCCACATGTATTATTATAAAAAATATAAAATAAACTCATTAATGACTGTTAGGTGATTTACGAGATCACCTAACATTTTCCTACAAACCGTATGAGCCATATTTTTATCAGTTTGATTAGATTTTCTCTGGAGGATGACAGCTGACACAAACCCATCCTGTGAAACCGTGTTTCCCCGTGGTTCACAACTTCAAGGGGGCGGACCCGCCGACGGGAGTGAGGGGGGGGGTTAGGGTTCTCTGGTGTGAGCGCCACGTCCACATGCACAGAAATACGCATGAGAGTGTCTGGGACGGAACTGCCGCGCAGGGACATTTTTAAAAAAAATTAATTTCAGCGGGGCGCCCCCCCCAGTATAATGGAAGGGGAAACACTGCGTGAAAGCATAAACAGCTTCACATCAGCACATGACCATCAAATACACCACCACAAACACTTTCTCTCAAATAGACTGTTGTACAACATTAATGTAAAAGAAATAACTCCTATAACAATATTTTATACACAATTAAAAATTCATTATGTCAAAGCAGAAACTTACTTGGACCGGTCATCTGAGCCACGGTACGAGTCATAGTAACGATCTTCTCTGTGGGCAGGATGGAGATGAGGGAAAAAAAAAACACAAAAACGCACCCAGACATTACATTGATGAGCACATAGAATTTATGGATCGATAACTGTGAATATGAATATTTCCAGAAGGATGCAAGGTACGACACTCAGTTTAACCTCTTATTAGACAACGTAAAGCAAGTTGAGCAATTGAGCCTGACTGGAAACTAAGCACCTGATTAAGCTTTGTGCGTGAGATATCAAGAGGTTAACTCAACGTCATACCGATGGTATTATTGTTAAGTCACTCTGCACTTCAGTGTTGAGGGAAGCAAAGAATGGGCACAAGATTGTATCTGTATCAAGCCCACTTTAACGCGAGGTGTGCGTCTGAGGAAAGCTACATAGAAAAAACACTATACACCAACAAGGACCAGTAACTTCAAAGCATTAATGCAAATATACAGACGTGCAGTTTTCAGTAAAACGGCGGCGATCAGCCGTAAAACTATTTCACACTATGATGTAGGGCTGCATAATCATGGCCCAAATCCCAATCTCGATTATTTGGATCATGATTATTCATAGGGATAACATTTCTTTACTGCACTTTCACGTTTAAATGAACAAGAATACTGCTTCCACTTCCATCGTTGCATCGAAGGAGATTCAGGGAGGTATCGTTAACGTCTCAATGCATTTGTTGTACTGTGGTAATTTTCAGGTGGTTGAACTAGTTCGTTGTATGGTTATGGTTATTAGTTGTTCGGGTAAAGCACTCTGTGTGTATGCTTTGTTCTTGGTTAACACCACTTGCCCTAAATACAAAAAACTTCCAGACAAGGGATGATGAAATAGTTTCCCTTTTCGAGGGACTATTTTCTCGCCTTCTGTGCCTGACATTTGAATTACCTTTTACCCCTATGTAGTCTGCTCTCTGTTCTGTGGTCTCTCTACTCTTCTACTATTAGCCGAGTCCACTGCAGACAAAACTTTTCTTTAAGGCTTCCGCTGATGACTCCTCCCACCTCATTCTCCCTCTGGTGGTTGGCTGACTGTTAGTCGAGGAAGCGCTTGATTTGATATGTAGGAGAGCATGCATTTTAAACGTCAATACAGCTGATCATCATGCTCATTTCATTTTGGTAGCCAAAATAGTCATCGCGATTAAAATTTAATTAATTGTGCAGCCCTACTATGATGCTTAAACTTTAATTAATACGCAGCTCACATGCCTGAGGAACTATTGTCCGTTACACCTCCACTTACAACCTCAATTGAGTATCGACGCCTTCTGCACATAGGAGAGCAACAGCAAAAAGAGAAACAGACGGTGGATCATTTGCGATCATTTCTTACCCTCCTCTGTGTGGGTGTCCCATGGGCATGTTGCGTCCACGCCCGCTCCCTCTACCAACCCTACTCGGGTGGGGCGGTGGGGGAGGACCCCGGCGGGGGCTTATCTCATCGTAATCCCGGCGGGAGGGAGGCATGGGTCCCCGCCCCCCTCTGCTAGAGGGCATTCGGTCAAACCCACGATCTCCACCGCTGGACCGCCCCCCACGCATGGGGAACCCTCCCATTAGCCTGCGACCGCCTCCCCTCTCCTCAAACATCACAGTGAAACCCCCATATTCATACGTTTCGTCGTAGAAGTTAGGATCGTAGGGCTGTGCACGGCCCTTTATGGGAGCCTGAAAGAGAAAGACAAAGGGGCTATCAACTGACCTGACCAAAAATATTTGAAATGTAGTTTACAAGAGTACAGTTGTGGTGGCAAAAAATGCAAACTATATTTATATATTCCTGACATAAAACGAAACGTGACTGATGGGGCATCAACTGCTCTGATGCATCTCTAATACAATGTGTTGCTTACCCATTTGATTGTTCTCCACTTTGCAACATTTACATTTTCCAACACTAAGTGCATTTTCAACTATAGTCATATGTAGCACAACGCATTATACTTGCCAATCACAAAAAAGGCCTCTACACCACTCACTTCAGCGATGAGCTCCAGCATAGTCTTGATACACTCAACCACTCGCTCAGTTTTACCGCCAACCAGCACAACACGATCTGTCGACTGAGGACAGCACTCCTGAAACAGCTTGATGCTGGTCTTTGTGTTCTGGAGACAGATAGAAGTACACATAATGCTCACAGAAAGAAGGAGTTACGAAATTATCAGCTAGCCTCTAGCCTCTAGCTAGACCAGCTTATTCTACCGTAGAAAATCATTACAGTTCACATTAAACCACTACGGTGTCATTTTATATGAAACGTTGCATTCTAGGGTATAAAAGATTGAGCCAGAAGACGATAACAGTTGTTTTTAGGAAAACAAATAACAAGAAAAAAAGATTGTTGTTACAACGGAAAGACTGGCAGTAACAGAAATATGTGTGAATATCCATCTTTTAAATTACTCACACAATTTAGTCAGACCTGGCTGCAAAAAAAAGTGATTCACATCTCATTAACATACCTCTCTGAGCTCCTTGATCTTGGCTCCCTTCACTCCAATGATTGAGCCCGCGAGGCTCTGATGGATCAGCAGGCGCAGCTCACAGTCAAAATCCATGCCATTGTACTGCTGGTACTGAGCAAAACATTTTGCATGTTAGTACTTCCTTACAATTCCCTCAAAGTCCCTAAATGTGTGTTATTTCTAATTTTAGCAATATGATCCAAAAATGCATGAAATAGTAAGCACCTCTTCCAATGTTGGGATAATCTTCAGCAGGATCTCTCCAACTGTCTCGATGTCGGCACTGATGCTCAGGATGCTTCGTGATTCACAAACGAGGGTAGGGTTGGGGTTGCCACAAGACATCCCATGGAGGGAGGGAACAACATTTGAGATTAGAGAATTCATAACATATCCTTCTATGCCATAAAGAAAAGTCACACCCCATTCAACCAACTCGCTACTAAAACTAACACAGCTATTCCAACTGTTGAGATCTAGTGTTTTCTAAACTTGGTCATGGTCACTATGCAATAAAATAAAACGGTTTCCGAGAAAGGGAGAAAAGAGACAAAATAAAAACGGGACCCAAAGAAAAGTGACTGCATTTGGTGACCACTGAAGGGGCGAGACGGGGGAGGGGTGGTAAATCTGAGGGGGATCTGGCAGGAAAAAGCACCAAAGGTGCCAAAGAGAACTCTATAGTCCTAAAGCATAGCTGGGTGGATGCACACCACAAAGCCTTTAAAGACCCCGCCAATAAAGTGCCTCACACATTGGCGAAGGATTAGGGAAGACTGAGAACCAAAGAATCCTCTCTTCTATTTAAAAAAAAAAGATTTATCAGAGCAGGCTGTAAATAAATAATAACCTGGATAACAATTTTGATGCTTCATTCTCCGACAATCTATAGAATTTTGTTGTTTGCACCCACCTAGTTAAACATTAAAATAAACAATGAATTTACTGATCAAAGGAACTAAAGCACAAGTTTGTACATGAAAGTAGAATGGTAAGCAATTGAGGGACAGGGCAGATTATACCATGGGAAATTAAGTTTGCCACCGCTATTTTAAAGGGGATGGAGAAGCAATAAACACAATACCAAAGAATGCATGGATGAGTGGGACAGAAAGAGATAATCTGTATGTTCAATAGCTTCAGTAGTCAATAACAAAATTAAGATGAAACAGAAAGAAAAGGAAAAACACACACAGACACAACCCTTGATCCTAGCTTGCATTTTGCACTTCAGAATGGATGGACAATAAAGGGTCTATCTGTACAATTAGAGCATCTCAAGGAAAGAATGGGATGATGCGAGAAGCAGGTAGCTTATGAAACTGACGAAAACAAGAACACCAGTATATCCACTCTGAGGGGGAAGGGGGTGAAAACGCAAAGATAGTGAAGGATAATCATCAGTAAAAACAAAATTTAAATTAAAAAAAAGACGTATTGCACAGATTAAAGCAAAGTTTTAAAAAGACAGGAAGATTGTGGAAAAACCCTGACAACACCATCCTACTTTTCTCTTAATGTTGACGTGACTTTAAAAAATGGCATATAACAGGATCTCGACATTGGCTTTTACAGGCAGATTTGGACATGAACGCATTTTGACAGGCTAAAATACTAAGAACAGGTAGGTTAAAATACAGTGACTTGACAGAGGCAGGATGACTATTTATTATTTCATCTCTTCTTGTTTGTTTGACCTGTAGTCAGGCAGTGAGAGGGAGGAGCTTAGGGACATACCGCTCAGGCCCACTGCTGTCTGGGACTGACACACTGGCATTGTACTGGGCGTGGAATGGGCAGGGGCCAGGGCCATTCGAGCACAGATGTCAATCAAGTAAGGCGCCCATTTAGGGACAGGGCACGATTATGGACAGGGCCAACCAGGGTGTCAGGTGGGCGGGCGCAGGAGGGGCCATCCAGAACATGGGCAACAGAGGAGGAAGTGGGCAAAAGTCAACAGTAAAATAATAAACAAGGGAGAGGGAAGAGGGAAGAGGAATACATTTTTAATATACAGGCTCTACACTGTTGAAACGTGACTTTAATTTAATTCTCTCAGAGATAGGTTTGTCAAAGAGAGAAAAGGAGAAAATGTGACATTGGAAAATGGGTAATGGCATATTAAGAACATGATACGTTCAATGTTGGGGAATAGACCAGAGACAGTGAGAGAGGGGGAAGAGCAAATTGCCGAGGGCTAGAGAAAGAGGCAATGACATTGAATGATTTAATATTGGTCTGGGTGCCTTATTAGCTGCCGTGTCAGGTGACCTTGTGAACATTGCACTGTGCCAATAAATTTAGATTAACAAGAGCATCAGTGTTGCCACAGCGTTGTTAAAATAAATAATCAAGATTGGAGAAGCAAACCGACATGAAATTGGGCTTTTGTGGCGAGTTTAGCTGAGACAATCACACGATTTTCATTATTCAAATTGTTTTCAGGAACAGAAAGCTAATACCAATCCAGGCCTGAGATAACCACACCCCATATTAACACAGAATAAAATATTGCCAATTACCAAAGCAAGATTTTAAACAGTTATCCATGGTAAATGTTGTCAAATATTAACTGCTGTCAAATAGGGGGGCTGGGTATGTTGGTAGGCTGAACACCAGTGAAAGGAAAAAAAGGGGAATACAAATTCTGCCTGTGTATGTATAAAATATACTCACGTCTGTACGCAGGGCTTTGATGTTTTTGCCAGCCTTCCCAATCACAGCTCCTGCATTCTGAAAATACGGATAACACTTAACATGTGGCTGTAGTACGGCAGAGCGACACGTGGTAAAATATATTCCCCCCACCCCCTGAATATTGGCATGGCGGCTCTTCGAACAGCTGTTGGCTATATAGATTCCATGATGGCATTATAACTATGTTGTATTGCACTACGGACATTTTTGTTCTCTGTACTTCTAGCCGTGACTGTACTCATTGAAGTGCAAGGCTTGTATATTGCAGCAAAAAACAAGCGCATTAAAATTTTTTTTTTTTTAAAAAGTGCGAATCTCTATCTTAAGTGTTTCTTTGTTAAAACGCTTAGGTAGCATGGTCATTCCATTAGAATGCTCATTCTGCCTCAACCAGGTCTCAAACTCACAACCATAGACACTGTTGGCAAGTCACCATATTGGTAATCTACAATGAAAAACCTACAATGACCTGAATATGTTATCATTTATTGTCATAATCATTGAAAATGTATTTACACCCAAACATTTTGAGTACTGTCGGACCAACAAGGGGCTGGAGAATATTAAAATTAACGTCAAGAACGGGAAAACGTCCGTAAGACTACCCTTAATAAAAAGGGCAGAAATGAATTCGCAGAATAATTTAGAAATATCAGAATAATTATTTGATTATGGCAACACAAAATTTGAACAATTTATGTTTTCCAAGAAATTTTGAGTTTTACTGAACAGACCCGAAAACAAAAAGAATAATCAAGAACAGGTTCATTGTGAAATGAAAGACCAACTCATTTACTTTACTCTGCAGGAGGATGCGGAGCTCAACCATTTCGTCCGAGTTCCTGGAGCGCTTGAATGATTTCTGCTCATCTGCATCCTCAGCAGGGCGCTTACCTGGCATAGGGAGACATAAAGCACACGATGCATATACAACCCTCCACTGGATCAAATAAAATAAATGAAAAAGGCACTTAAAAAACAAGACTTTTTCATACCATAAACCGATCATGCGTGTAAAACTCGGACAGACAAAGATTTAGAATTTTTGGAGAGGAAACACACACGCATAAAATATATGTATAGCAGATTAACGATTGTAAATACATTTCCGGACATCAAAAAGGAGTACCAAGTGAAAAACTAATCAAAGATAACTTGCCCTACACATTTCAAATGTACGGATTATTTTTTTTTAAATCCATCAATAATAGTGCATTCTGACCACATATTCTAAAGTGCAAAGAAGCCAGGTTGTATACCGTTTGTCTCTGTGTTGCCGAATGAAGCGTCGTCTTGCTGCTCAATTTCTGTCTCCATGGTCTTCTGAGGGTGGAGGAGCCGGGATGGCAACAGGCAACAGCAGAGAGAGAGAAGCAGAAAGCTGGACCCCGAGAGCTGTGGAGGTCTGTCAACATTGTGAAAAGGAGGAAAAGAAATGAGTAGATTCAACCTGCGTGCTGGAGACCCAGCAATTCAAGAGCACGGGATGAGATGGGGAGAAAAACTGGCAGAAAGGCAGCACTCACCGATATTTATTAGAGGGACAGGGGCGTGTTGATAGGCGGATCTAAGTAAGCAAGGACCAAACAGCTGCTGTGACCTGTCGGGAGGGAGAGGCTAGTTGAAATACTGAAATATAACGTGAATAAAAAGGGCTCAGAGGTAGCAAGGGCACCAATTATAAAATAACCCATTTTATTCCATTCCTAGATTTGGAATCTATTTTCTGGATCACTTACTGGCTGATATTTACGTTTACATATTTTTCGGGTCAGCTAGGTTTAAGAAGAAGCGAGCATTACAGACTAACTAATGTTATCCGACAGTTATCTTGATGATGTGATCAGCTACGGCATCGTTGCAGTGATATAAGTGTTTTGGTTGGAGAGCGAAGAATGCATTTGCATTGTTGGGCCAAACAGTCCGTAACGAACGAACAGTATTAACGCGAGTGTTAATTAGGTAAAATAAGAAATGTAACCAACGCTAATCTGCCTTCTTAAACGCCAAAAAACCCAGCGCATTTTCCATTACAAGAAAAGTAACAGCTAGGTAGGTAATAGGACAGACGTTACGGACGGTTCATGAGGAGTAAACAGTGCTGTCATTGGACAATTCGGAAGTGTGCTAACATTAGCTAACGTTCCCTGGGTTGCTAGCCACATAGCATGGGTTAGCTACGAGCATCGTCGTGTAACGTTAGGTCTGAACCAACGTTAGCTAACGTTAACCCAATGCAGGTTGATCGTAAGCGCTTTTCAGCCATTTTACCAGTTTTATAGTAGGCGAGACATTGTGATGTGTTAGTGTTTAGCAAAAGTAGGTTGATAAAACGTTAGCTGTAAATCAATACAAAGACCAGTCCGAACCACTCAAGCTAGCGACTAGCTAATTTCGCCATGTTGCCATCATTTCCGTTGGGCACAAGGGGAGCTAACATTAGCCAGGCCGGGTAATTATGCAGCGTTGCCACATAAACAATATGCGGAAGATAATTACCAAAGAAGCATTTATTTGTAGATTACCTGAGTACTCAAACTACATTAACACCCGTGTGGCATAGAAACACTGTGAATTATCGTCAAAACACAAACCTGCAGTGCAACACCTCACTCGTTCCCTTCCTTCTCTACCGAACGTAGAAATGTACGCGTTTAGCTAAAGAGTGCCGATTGGTTGGACAGGATGTAAATCAAACCGGAGAGAGTCACCATTGGCTGGAAGAGACGTCAATCGTAACGACGAGGCGTTTTCAACATGATGCCGTAATCTCTATTTCCGGGTGAAGTTAGGTCTGCAAGGTTGCTAAAGTTGTTCCCGTGTATAAGATATGATGATCTGAAAGGCTTGTGTTAAGCTGTGTCTCTCTAAGTACTCAGAGAGACACAGTTGTGCAACAACGGCAGTTTTATGCAATAGCCTTGCTAACTAATAAGGTTGTATCGACTCGGAGAGCTAAGCCATAGTTGCGCCCACATTGGTCAACTTTGGCGCCTTGGCTTCTTTCCACAACGGTTCGGGGAAGAGGCTTCCTCCATGTCTCCCAGGTACTTTGTATTTGTACTATGACCTAAATATGTTCCAATATTAATCAATGTATGTTTGGATTTTTGTGTTGCGTGCTATCCCTGTCTGCATTTCTCCCTCATTCTATCTTTTTTTCTCCTCCACAGTACACAGGCGTGACCGCACAGTAAAAACAGTACGTTAACAAAGTCTCTCCGGTCACTACATCAATACAAGATGGTTCCGTAGAGGTGATGAGCACTTGACACAAAACTACCTTTAAGCCCCTGCAATTCAATAAATAAAATGAAATGTAACATTTGAACCACTACTTGAATTTTGAAAATTGCGAAATGCGTAACTGCTAATAGATACATCATCTGTAATGTATTTACTCTCTATTACGTTAAATATGAATAACAGATCTGTCGTCATACAATAACCGATAACGGTGGAGAAAATATCACTGAGTCAAATACGAACGAAAGGACGAGGATGGCCCCCGAGGGCCAGTCAGTGGTGCATTCCACTCGAGCCTGGCTGCAGTCCTCCTGGCACATACAGGTGCCGTTTGCCTGGCTGGAAGCCTGCGTCGAGTGGCTGCAGGATGAAGCAGGAGGAGCAGGTCGTCTATCACAGCAACAAGTCAACCAGCAGGTAAGCAGGGTGCATGCATACGCCAGTGTCTACATGTGTGTGGCTTGCATCGGATGTGGATATCCTCTTGCTCCGTCTCCGTAGGTTGATGACCTCTGACCCCTTTCCAGTTGAAACTTGTACGGTTTTCGGCCTGGTGTTTACATACCGCTGATTATGTTGGTTTGCAGTATTCTCTCTTCAGTTTAGGGCCCTTGCTGCTTTACAAATATTGTGTTCTCTACCACTGTGCATGATCTAAAATGATTAGTCAATCAACAAAAAAAATTGATCAGCCAATATTTAAAAATATCAAATATTATTATTATTATATTATTATCAAATATTATGGATCCCTCACCAAACATTCAACACACTGACTTTACAACTCCGTGAACCTTTCGAGAAGGAGAGCTTCAAAAGCCCAAGACCATGCAAGGCTCCATCACTGTCTGCTCAGATGAGGAAGGTAATGCTTACATTAGTTGTGATTGGCAAAAATGGATGATTGCAGAGTGAGCGAACACCTCCTGGTCTGACAAATCCGGGTTTCTGTTGCATCATGCTCATTGCAGGGTAATTCATTTGTGTAAAAAGCATGGCTTCATCCTGGCGTAAGCCGTATCAGCGGGTGTTGGCTTTGTGTAGGTTATGGTTTCACGTATGCCTCTTAGATTCTTGAGGAGGATAATACTCAAAGTCACAGATCACCTCCTGTTTCAGGAACATAGGGTGACATCAGTTTATACAAGTGGCCCACGTCACTTGATCTCAACTAGGAAGTGCACCTAAACAATTTTGGATAGGATGTTTATGTCATGGACAAGACACCTTATACTTTTTAATGTTTCAAAATGTGATGGACTGTCTTAAAGTAGGTTTTACAGTGGGAAATAAACTTGCCGTGAACCCTCATGTGCCTCTGCATGATGTGACATTTTAGGTGCTGGACCAGTGGTTGTTGACAGACCTCAGGGACCTAAGCTACCCTGTTCTCCCTGAAGGACTCTCTCAGGCCCAGAAGACTGAACTCAGAGGGACCTTCTGTGTTCAGGTACAGGCTTGTTGATCATACATTTCCTGCTATTGTGTGCAAAAGAGGATCGCAATGCAATACAATATTATAACAAATCACCAGATGAATTTCAGTTTTCCATTTGGAAACCCTGAGACTGACTGATTCACTGAAAATTGGTTTCACAGCTCAAAGATGGGAGCAACAAGATGTTTCTCATAAATACGACTGGAAATTCTTATGTACAATATGTACAAAGTCTTTTAGATTGTATTTTTTATTTAAAAAAATGTCCAAGAAATTTGTATGCCGGGTGAAGGCAACGCGATCAAAGGTGCCACTCTGTTTTAGGTTGACTCATTACTGGACATCAGTCAGCCTGCGTACAGTCAGATGCAGAAATGGAGGGGCTCGGATTGTGCCAACGACGAGGTGTCTGCTGTCACACAGTTCACCCAGAGGCCCTGGGAAGCCCGGCCATCCCGGATGCTTCTATTGCAGGTCAGATTCATGAAAGAATGAAGGATATAGCTCGTCTGCCTCATAAATAAGAAGACCTCATTGTTTTGATAACTAAGACCTCCTGGCCATTAAGCATAGTATAGAACTGAATTATTTTTATTTTGGTTATAAAAAACAGTTCCGATCGCAATAGTCTTAAAGCAAAACTGCAAGACTTTTAGACATAAGCGTCTAGTAACTAGAAAGTCATTTTAATTAACAAATGCAATGTTACACTATTTAACAATGTGTACAATTGTGCTCAATCAACAATACAGCTATATTGTATAATCAGACTTTGTATGCGTTTGCTTGGGTAGAACAATGTCACATTCTGCTTTTCTTCCTAACCGAATAAGAGTGGACAGATCGGTGGGAGCATATGAAAGAGTGAATTGCTTGAATATAAAGCGCGCACCGTCTGTAATTTTCACCTTAAGTAATACACTTGTCACTGCTTTAACGTTTCTCAAGAATACTGCTGGTGTTGCCTGGAAACGTTGCATTGGCTGTTTTTTTCTTTTACTGTTTCTGAGACTGTAAGTCTCAAAAGTCTATGAGTCTTTGGATGGAAAGACCCACAGCGGTTAAACATCCGATGGTTAATGAAGGAGCGTTCAAAGGAGCTTCACTTGTTTCCGGACGTTTTTGCACCTGAACAACTTACCACAGAAATCGCATAGAGACCGCATTTAGAATTTTAAACTTTTCTTGAGATGAAATGGTTGTGACTCAGGCAGCACAAAGATCTCCCTGTTAGGCTCTTCCTGGTCAAATGCACTGTCTCTGTTGGACAGGTGACCGATGGAGTCCAGAGCCTGGAGGCCATGGAGTATCGGCCTGTCCCTGCACTCAGCACCGCTCTGAGGTTAAGAATAATCCTGTTAAACATCAACTGCATCGCGCTGTTAAACCACGTTTAGAGGCAAACCTTGTCTTGTTGTTTTCTTTACATCTATCTCCGGTTTTAAAATGAACAGTATGTTCGGTTACTCCATTATGTTGAGTGAATTTTATTAAAATAATTAAGATTTCTATGCCATATTTTAAGTGTTGAGCTGGGATTGTTGACTCTTCGAACCCTCAGGCCTGGCGTGAAGCTGCAGTTGCAAGGGCAGATGGTCTGCAGGCTCGGGATGCTTCTTTTGGGGCCGCCCAACATCAAGGTTCTGGGTGGGGAAGTGGAGGATCTGGTGGAGAGGAATAACCAGGTACACTGTTTGTTTGTTGTCCATCAAAGCAGATTGAAGCTAATATGTTTTTTTTGTTGTTATTTTTTTAATGTGAATAGTAATTGGTGCGAATCACCTTGTGGTACATTTTTTAGTTAATACAGCATTGAGTTTAAAACTAGTTGTTATGGGCCAGATCCCGTTAACAGTTTATAAAGCAAAGATGGATATTTAAGCATACGGTAGCGTATAACATGCAATAATGGATTCAGGTTAAGATGTATATTTCTACTCTGACAGGGTAAAGTGCTGTGTCGGACACTGGGACTCCCTGAGGAGCAGCAAGAGAGGGGAGAGGCGCAACCAGCGGCATTACAAGGTGACATTAAATGCATATCAACAATTTTGATTTTATATAAAATGTAGCCGGTTTTAAAAAGGAAAATGGACGCCTTAATTCTTATTAATGCTGTGCCTTGTTTGTTTTCTCTGCAGGAAACCAGGAAGTGGAGGACCTGGGGATTGATGATGATGAGTTGTTGGCCAGTTTGGCTGCTCAGGAGGAGGTGCAGAGGGTTCAGGTGGGGTTTGTCCCAGACAGCGGCTACGGGACGCTTAGTGAGACCTCCACTCAGCCCTCGAGAAGCTGCTCTATCCGGAGCTTTGTCTCAACAGATTCATCCAGGTGGGTTGTTAGCATTGACATTTCCATGCTGAAAATTCCTCGCTGTTCACCGCCGAGAAAATATACCTTGACATTTTGAAATTTAGCATAATGTTCAGAAAAAAACATCTTCTAAAAAGTATCTTTTTTTTTTTTTTTTACTTTGTGAAGCTTTTAGCACTTTAACATCATTCTGCTTCCTATAGACAAACATATTTTACATATAATTCTGGTCCTTGTTGGCTTTGCTGACTTTATCTCTGGCTGCTCAGAGAAAAATGAAACTAAATGACCACTTAGTTTGATCATTTTGATTTGAACTACAAAGGATGTTCACTACTTAAATATAAAAAATTAAAAAAAAACTTCAAATTACTGTAAATTGCACCAACTTCAGACTAGATAAGACAGGTTGAGGTAAACTGACTTATCTTGTATCTTTAACCCTTGTTACTGCAGCTGTCGAATGTTGTGTAAAATAATCTTACACAAAATGTACAAGCAAATGTTCGGGTAATACCTCTGGCACAGTATTGTTTAAATGACTTGCTGGTTTACAGCTTCATTATTTCACTCTTGTTTTTTTGGCCGGTTTCTTGCAGAAATGAAGCTTCTGCCGACTCTTACACAAGCGGTTCGGCCCAAAGTAACCAAGGTGGTTCAGTCCGAGGCCAGAACCCCGCCAGTGAACAAGAGGATCCTGACCTCTCCATTCGACGGCAGGTCTTCGATCATGACATGCCATTGGAAGACTTTCCCGACGAAGACTTTGACAATCTTCCCCTGGATGAGTTGGACAGTGTGATCTTCCAGCAAAGCAACAATGTCGCCACGCAATCTGCCAGCAGTCACAGAATCACGCCGCAGAGCAGCGACAGAATAACAGGGAATCCTAACGGGGCAACAGAAGCCAACGCTGCTCAGTTTGAGCGGCGCTCTTTGAATGTCTCCGGGTCCCGGCTCGTTTCCAGCAACTCCAGATCCACCACACAAAAACCAGATCACCAACGCTGTATTAAAGAAGCCGCAGAGCAGGTGTCGTCCCCAGCACCGGCTTTACAGCCACCACACGGGTCAGGCGTTGTTACTATTGACGAGAGTGATTTCATGGATGACGAAATGGACTGCCTTCTTGCGGAGGTCGAGACCGGGTGGGCTGCTGGTTCGAATCAGCTTTCTGTTCAACAAGGGCCAAGTAGAGACCGTGAGAGCTTTCCCCACAAAACAGACACTTCATGTTCCAGCCACACACTTACCGGCAACTCGTCAAGAAGCGCAACGGAAAGCTTTCCATTTGAGAGCTCGCGCAACTCCCCTCGGGGGCAAAATCGTAATCCAGACGGCGCAGAATCTGTTCAAATGGGCCGGCAGAGCGACAGCTCGGTCCCTGCTCTCACTCTGACATCTCCACCTTTCACATATTTGTGCCTGCTGGAGGAGATGACGTCCAAACCACAACCTCACACCCGGGAGATCCGAGTTAAAGCTTTCATCGTGACTCTCGTGGGGAAACTGAGCGGCAACAATGGCCTTTGGCGCATCCGCGCCACAATATCCGATGGAACGGGTTACCTGGACGTGGAGCTGTCCGACGGGGTTTTGACGGGCCTGCTCGGCTTCTCGGTGGCGGGGAAGGCGTCTCTGAAGCGTGACCCGGCCCGCAGGGGCGAGCTGGACGGCGGGATGAGGAGGTGTCAGGAAGAGCTGGTGGACATGTGCTGTGTTATGACCATCGCGTTTGAACCAGACGGCGGGAGAGCTGTGGTGACCCGGGCGGAACCCGTCAGTGAGAAAGTGTTCCAGGAGCTCCAGCAGAGGCTGAAAGATGACAGAAAATAGCCAGAGGAGTCGTTGAGGGGAAGTGGGCGATAATTAGAAAATTACAGGCAGGAGGAGTAAGTTGTCTTTAAGCAGAGATGGAAAATTACAACCGTTTTTTTTTTTTTTCTTTCTTTTTTTTTTAGGATTGGCCGTCAATCTGCCCTTCTGCTTTATATTTGGAGGGAAGAATGTGTAAACTGGATGTCTAATGATCAGCAGGCAGTGTGTTGCAATGCATCCCATCTGCTATATGTGAATGTGACATTCTGTCATTAGTCATTAGAGCATTTCATTCATCATTTCATTCATATTCATAGAGCTATTTTCTGCTTGATATGCGCAGCATCCCTCTAGCAAAGTAAACACATCTATAATATCTACACTTTCAGTCGTCAACATAGGAGTTCAAACTTTTAATGTTCCACTGTTGTACATTAAAAACAATGTGAGGAGTGGAGCCTGAGAGAAGGGAACCGGGTAGAAAATAATTCATGCCATGATTGTTGTAATGAATTGCCAGCCTTTGCATTCATTTGGTACATCCATTACTTCTGACTGAAAAATGATTTAACATCCAAGGGCAGCTCGGGTCTTTAATAAACTGCCCCAGAGGAGATGAGAGGAAAGGGGGATAAAGGAGAAGCCATGATTTCAGATTATTTTTGTTCATTATAGCTCCTCATCTGTTTTGGTCTTTAATGCGATGCCTTGCCTGTATTTACTACGTATTGAAATAAAAGAGTTCTGATGCTTTTACTATTTTTACTCCAGCATATAACTAATAAAACATGCTTGAAATAACAGATTGCCGCGAATATTATATTTCCTTTTGTCATAGTAGTGATTCATTTGGTTTGTAAAAGCTTCCATTAGGGATATGCACTGCTGAAGCAGACAGAACTAATTAATTTTAGCCTTGCCGTTATCTGTTCTTATAGCTCTTCAAACGTGCCAGAAACTTCTCTTAAAGACGAAACATCTAAACAATTTGTACTCAAATGGATTTGTGTCTTGTACTCCATCAAACAGTATAATTAGGTGTCAGTTTCTCACACTTCAAATTTCCTCAATGGGAAAATTAGCACGCCAAGGACACGAATAAGAAGGATGAAAGAGTGTGTGCTACGTATACGTGTGTGTCTGTGGGCTCATGTTTGTTATTGTGTTATAGCCCTGTGTGCACTTCCATTCAGGTAACTGGTCTCTGTTCATTAAGGGCTAATCAGGTTGAGCGTGTAAATCAGGGCCCTGCTATGCATCTCGATAACCTGTTATGTGCTAATGAGGCCTGATACATTAGGGGGGGGGGGCTGAGCAACCCATCAGGAGATAGAAGTGGAATAAATATTGAGTGATTGAGTAAATGAAACAAAAGGAGAGTTGCCACAGTGATCCTGCAGTCAAACCTCACTATATGCATGAAGTGATAAATAACCCCAGGCTATATGTGAGCTATATAACAGAAGTTAATTCCCCAAAACATAGTGATACAAAATGAAAGTATCATAATAAAGGGCTGTTATCAATTTAAGTTTCCTCAGCACAAATTGTGTTGAAAGTCTAAAACTCTATATGATGGTTTGATCTATAATATTAATCTATTGAATGCTTGGACATGGTTTGACTTTAGGTTAATTAAATAGAACATGAAAATGTTTAAAATCTTATTTCAGTTGAAATACTTATTATTTGACTAGTATCATCTGTTGGTAAATTATCACCTTTCTCCTTAAAGAGAAAAAAGGGATTGAGGGCTCAATATTTTGTCAATATAAATTATTTCATGACCGTATAAAATAAATATATATTTTTTTAGGACAGAAAATAGTATAGATTTAGATTAATTTGCTTGAATGCAATATTTTAGGATAAAAAAACAAATAAAAAAGTTAGAGGATGAATCCGCCTCGCACAGATCTGAGATCATTTCCTCCTAAATATATTACATGTGCACTCTGTGTAGGAGGTTCATTGAAAGGCTGGACTACGCAGTCTTGAGGAAATGACAATTTCTGAGTCTTTAAAAGTTTGCCAAGCAGCGGCAAATGATAATCAAGATATTTCAGAAACATCAGAAAGTGCTCCACAGCGCTAATAGCTTTCCATTTGCAATATTACTTCCTCCATGTTAGTCTTCCACTTCTGTCTCAGTCCGGAGTGGTAGGCTTTTTCGTTCCCCTGTGAGTTTGGATGTACCTTCCCAAATTGCGGATAGCAGGCGAGTGGAGGAGACTGAGACAGGAAGGACAGAGCGCTCACATTGGAGACATAGCAGTGCACTAATTTCTCTAATGTTCATATACAGCTGCACTGTACCTCTTTGGTCATTACAAATATCAATGAAAAAAGTACATGAGCAATTCTAATACCTCTCCTGCTGCAGCAGATGTAATTTTCTTTGCCCTATTACATTTAGTAATGAAAAATCCACTTAGATAGCTCAACCTCTCTTTTAGGCCCCCATGAAAATGAGCAAATGGTCTCTCTTCATGGCAAAAACATACCTCTTCAGGTGTGTATGTGTGTGTGTGTGTGTGTGTGTGTGTGTGTGTGTGTGTGTGTGTGTGTGTGTGTGTCCATGCTTGCTGGGGCTTGAGGATGTGAATCATGATTAAAGGAATTGAAAAATATGAGGAACCCGGACTAAGGAAAGAATACAGTACCTTTCTACTTTGTTTTGGCTCATCTGGGTGGATGGAACGGATGATTATTGTAATTTGAAAAGAAATGATGAAATGCACATAACAAAGTTATCAAGGCTGTTTTCATGGTAATTGAGTTTTGGTGTCTTGGGTATTGTAAATTAAGGCCGAATTAATATGGCAATGGCTCAATTATCAAGATTAACTCCAGCCGTCACAGAGATGCATACATAATATCAAAAAGGAACAAATACGAGATAAATAGAATTTGCCTAAATTTGCAAGTAGATCACAAATAGTTGGTGGATCCTAAGTGACAGAGAAATACTCGGACATTAAATCAAGTCAAACAGAACAGCAAAGAATAGAATTAAAAGTCAGTCATTCACAATTTAAATTAAGTGAGAGTAAATACATTTTAGAATAAAACTCATGTTACCAAAAGTATAATTGTGAAGATTAGCTAATTTACAAAAATGTCTAACTAATATTAATGCATTATTTAACGGTCAATCAATGGATAAACACACAAAGCCCATATTCAGAAACTGTGCATTTAGAGGAGCAATATGCAGGAAATCTAGTATTAACCAAGTATTGGCTATAAAGATGCAGTGCTTGGGTAAAAAAGTCGCTGGCTGAGACGTCGCCATGTTGTGAGCCGTTGAGAGGAAATCCAAATGCTTGTTGTCGTAATATACTACTTTCAATGGCGCGTCTGGATTTATGTACAGCTGTGATGTCACTGTACAATATAGAGACACTTTCATAGTTTTAAACAAAAATATTCTAAATGTGTTCCTGTCTAATCCTGATTGCGGTGAATGTGAGTGACCAGCTCACAGGAAGAAACATGGACCCAAGCTGTTGCCTAGTAACGCTGTTCGCTGAAACACACCAAAACGGAGCATTTCAGTCAGACAGTGGAACGGGTAAACAGCTTGAGAAAAGTTCAAGTAAAAAAATGAAACTTGAGTGAGTACAATGTGTCTGTAGGCTTTAGCATGTTGCGCTGGGCCTTTACATTCTCCAGCCAGAGTTTATGAGGTGGCGATCCAGTCGCTGGTCAAGCAGTGCTACAACTGTTTGGTTAGCCTTGATCTTTAAATCCGTTATGTCCTTCAAAGGGTTAAGATCAATAACTTTGCCACGTGCATTTGAAAGGGCACCAGGAAGCCCTGTTAGAAATTCTTCCAGCTGCAAAGACGACCAGATGGCTGTGGGTGGCCGGATCGCCTCTAAGCATTAAAGAAAAGGTTGATCATTTATCAAGGCGGTCTACAAACAGTAGTCAGGTGCCTGTATGAATGCTGGGTTTTCTTTGGGGTAATCATTCTTCTGTTTGTACAGGCAATTTAATGATCCCTCAACGAGCATTTGTGTCAGTCGCGGGGAGAAAGTCCTCGCATACCTTTAATGCAGCGGGTCACAACATTTTAAACACTGAAAAAACAGACAAGAAACACGTATTGTCGAATACATTTAAACAAGTAATTTACATTAAAACAAGTACTTTACATTTAAACAAGTAATTTTCTTTGATGGAACATGTAGAAATAAGGCTGTTCAGTACAACGTTGGAGAAGTAAGATTTGAAAAGACTGTAATGATTTGGAAATTATAATCTTGCAATTAATGATAAATAATAAATCCGGCCTGTGATGGTGCATTAGCTTTAATCGGCTTTTCCATTAACCATCGCGCAATTCTGAAAGAGTGCAGACAAATGATTGACAGTCCCACAATACAGCTGGCCTTTCTCTGTGTCCTACTCTCATACTGCCACGGCATTACGACCATTTGGAGCCGAGCGGGATGTACTTGAGCAGCAGGACTTAAAAGAAAAGAAAAGCAAAGGTACCATATACAGAGACGAATGGGGGATTTTGCTATGACAAGGAAGAGAATGGATCGCTACCCCCACTTGTCCTTTCTTTCTCCACAGAGACGAGGCAGCCTGACAAGCTGGCCATTAGGAAGGTAATTGGACAAGCTGTGCCGAGTGCTTTCGCTGCTCCCTTACACCTCTTGAACATCATGAAGCCTTATTCTTTACCCCTAGTTAATATCGGGAGAATACGCAGGGCGGGAAAGACTACAGACCAACAGGCACATGACAGCCAATGTATCGAACGTCCTTTTCAGGTCAACGTGGCTCTTTGAACCTTTTGAAGAGTGAACCAGTCTATTGTCAGCCGGCCGCTCAGCGTCTACGCACTGAATCCACGTTGTGTTTTATTACTGCATTAGTTTTGGTCATCTGGTCACGTTGGTAAGTGACAGCATCGCAGTGTGTCGTTAGCGTGCTGTTTGCGCGCCCGTATGAGTGTTTTTGCGCGTTTGTTTGTGTGAATATGTGTGAGTTAATGCCTTTCATTCATGAGGCAGGATATTAAATGAAAGGTCACCATCAGGAAACCATTGGGAAAAGGAAGAATTAAGGGGAAATGAGATCCACTGGTGGAGATTTGAAGGTATGTAGGTTACAGAGAGAAGGCTTACTCTGAATGAAAAGTAGATCCGTAAATTAAAAGAAAAAAAAAAGTTAATGTTTTAGCTTGCGTCTGTGAAGATGCAAAGAAGTAAAGGTTAAAATGACAGATGTGCCATCAGTGTAAATCCAAACAACGCACCATAGATAGATAGATACTTTATTGATCCCTCAAGAGGGAAATTTTGGTATCACAGCAGCATGTACAGGGAAGAAAAAACATTAAAAAGATACACATTATATACAATATAATAAGATAGAAATATTAAATTATTAAATTAAATTAAATAAACTAAAACTGGAACAAAAGAATAACCTTTCAAAAGAGACAATAATAATACCATCTCAGGATTGTCACACTCAAAAGCCACACTTCCCCCCCCACAAACACATAAATATACACAAAACACAACTAGAGACTGAAAGGCTGTTTGGCAACTGCCTGCGTTTTTGCCGTGATGATTGGCGTGCAGGAAAAAAGCCTCAGGCTGTCTGGGAAAAATGGCAGAAATCACTGCTGACGGCTGTACACAACCCGCCTTCCAGCCTTTGCTCTTATGTTACTGCATTGTTATCCAGTGCTTTTATCCATTCCTCGCCCTCCAGAGTTCTTTCTTCCTTTACGGTCTCTGTTCTGGTTCCTTTTCTTCATCCCTATTAGTCTATTAAA